TCTCTCGTGGAGAAAACGACATTGATTTAGCAACCCATTATTTTCAACTCATTATTTTCAACTCATTTGTAATCTAATTCCGCACAAAAAGAATAATTCAAAATAGTAATTAAAACTGAATTATTGAACTCATCAAGAGCTTTTCTGTTTGGTTTTCAGTTAGAAAGAACAGACTCTAAGGAAAGTAAGTTGAAAGTTCACCTCTGAGGGACCAAAAAGGCACACTTTAAAATTCCCATCAGCCAAAAGCCTCAACCTGTTGCAACCAGCGCAAAAGTGCTCAGTCATTGACGTAATGAAGGAAACGGTCCCTTGATGCCCATCTATCCTGAAATTCTTTGCTGTCTCTGTCGGATGATCCAAAATTCTTTGGAGACCAGTAAACCGTTTCACCTGTTTGGGAAAAAAATTGAAGTCGTACACCATGCAAAAAAAACAAGGTTCTTGAATTTGTGCCAAAGAAAACAAGGTTCTTGGATTTATGCCATTATACCTTACCACTACGTCCAACATCTCTTTGTAAGGAACAAGCTTCTTCACATTCCACACGTTGCCATCGAAAGGCATGAACTCAATGAACCGGACATTGATCGGTTTCTCACGTGTCATCTCTACGAAATCACAAATTTCATCATCATTGAATCCACGCATTACAACACAATTTACCTGAATTGAAGCAGATTCAAGAAGACATGAAAAAGTTGTATGCAAGATTAGAAGCCCGTATGGTATTTTGGTTGAAATTGTAGGAGAAATCGTTGTGGTTGCAGAATTTGTTGAATTATTACTCGTTCAGTCAAATAAAAATCAAGCTAAATGGTCATTTTCAACCATTTCAACAACTTCAGCAAAAAAAAAAACACTAACCTTTTGCATTAGTTTTCTCTCTTATCAACCAGTTCTTTCAAAATAGTCAATTAAGTTAGTGTTTTGTAAACAATCTAGCAGATAGGCAGAAGCCGCAGTACTCAGTTCTCCAATCAAGGACTAAGATGACTATCCCACAAAAAATACGAGGATAACTTACTTTCACAGGATTATAGCCAAGATCAATGGCTGCATCAATGGATTCCATAACCCTTTCATGTCCTTTGCGTCTAGTCATGAATTCAAATTTTTCAGGGACCAACGTGTCCAAACTGATGTTAACCAAATTAAGCCCACAGTCTTTCAAGCGAACAAGCTTTCTAGCTAAAGTGATCCCGTTTGTGGTCATAGCAAGAGTCTTAAGCCCTTCCAACTGCGACAGTTGAAGACAGATATCCTCAAGATCCTTCCGAATTGTGGGCTCTCCCCCAGTTAAACGGATTTTATCCACTCCAGCGGTTACAAATAAATTTGCTAGGCGAACAATTTCACTATGGGTTAAAAGTTTAGGGTTAGGAGTGAGATCCACACCATCAGCTGGCATACAGTATTGGCACCTTAAGTTGCAGCGTTCCGTTAAGGATATCCTCAAATAAGTGTGGAACCTTCCAAAAGTATCAACCAACATGTTGGAGGGACTATCTTTGGGTACACCAGAAGACAACATATCACCGGAAACCAGCACAGATTTCTCTTTCTGATTATCAGCGACAAAAGCCTTGGCATTGCAGTTAACAGAATGGAACCTTGATATTGCACCAAAATTGTTCTGGAATATAGTAGCAAGCATCACTTCAATATCAAGTTGGAAAATTAACAGCTTAGAATTGGATATGCCATATGTAAAGCCAAAGGGCGTGCCATGTACTCTCATAGTCTCACCCACTCTCACTCTTTCACTCCACTCTCACACTGAGAATGTAAATCGTGCCCCAATCATATTTTGCCACATGGTTAGTCTGTTTTTTTTCCCTTTTTCATTTAGAGTTCTACACGTAGCACAATACGGCAAGGGTTGCAATTTGCACTCTCGTGGTGACTTGGTGAAAGGGCATATAGTACATTTCTTGTCAAACAAATAGGCATTTTTTATATTTCTTATCAAACAATACATTAACAATATGCTTGGTTCAATGAATTCACAAGGAACACCAACAAAAACAACCCAATTATATCGCACGAGAGTAGGGTCCCGGGAGGGTGTGTGTACGCAAATCTTGCCCCTACTCGAAAGTAGAGAGGCTGTTTCAAGAGACCCCGGATCAAGCTGTACGGAAATCACAAGGAATATATAAGAAAATGGCTTTCTCTCATTTTCCTTGCAAAAATGGGAGGAATCTTGTTTTCCCTCCTCTTAATACATCATGCCTTCTCATTATCTTTTCATTCCAATTTTCTTTTCTTTACCTCTCTAACCAAACAAGAAGAATTGTTTTTCATCTCATTTTCTTTTCTCTTTCAAATTCCTTGAACCAAACATAGTTTCAGTGGAACTTATTCAAAATACTCACTCAAACAAACAAAAACAAAAACTAAAAGCATCGATTTCATCCATTTCTATGGAAGAATACTTCTGCACCACTGGTTTCCATTATTCATCAAAAAATCAGTTCCTTTTGGTTAGTTTTACTGCAAAATTAGGCCACGAAACTTTCCAACACCCACAAAAAGATCATCATACAAGCATTCCTAAACATTTCACTGGCAGAATCAATAAAAGAACACTGAAATCATTCACAAGCAAGATTGAAAATGGTATGCTGCGTACCGGATTGAAGCCCCCACGGCTCAGACAAAGTTTCCACCGGAAAGATCCTCGAACCAGGGGTCGCATATTTGAGACCGGGCGGTTTCTCTGGCCTGGTGAGTGAGGTTTGGTAAAGTAAAGGAGAAAACGAAGAGAGAAAAATGAACACCAAAAGAGGATGGTCAATTTGCTTGAGCATATTCGAAAGTAAAGGGTCTCTTTGGTTGGGATTTGTTATACTTCACAAACTTTATAAACTTGTTTTGTGTGGATTTTAAAATAAAATATCTTTTATTATTCGGTAAGTCTAAAATGTCACTAGTGCTACTGGTGTCGTTTTCTTACACCAGTTCGTTTAGAGTACCTACGGTGTTCCGTTTGTAAAACCGACGGTTCCTACCCTCTCTAAGTCTCCCCTTAAACCCCCCACCTCAGCCCTACCCTTGCCCCCAACCCAACCCCCTCCCGCCCCCCTCCATACCCTAGCAGTATACTGCCTGGTAGGGAGGGGGGCTGGGGTGGGGGACAAGGGTAGGGTTGGGGTGGGGAGTTTAGGGGGAGGGTTAGAGAGGGTAGGAACCGTCGGTTTTACAAACGGAGCACCGTAGGTACCCCAAACGAACTGGTTTAAGCAACTAGTGTATAAGTAACTGGTGTCATTTTAGACGCTCCCTTTATTATTTGAGTACATCTTATTTTTAGAAAAGTGTTAAAAAGATAAGTTTATGAATTTTGTGAACTGTTTGTTTGTAACTCTGGTATTATTCTTTCCAAAAATATGTTTTTAGATGTAAAGAGTAATACTATCTACAAAATAATTAGGTGGATCTAGTTTTGATTTTTTTTTTTGCAGTTAATCATAATCAACATTTAATTTATAATAAATGAAACATTATAAAATATACTCCGTATTAATTAGATGAAATAATATTCACAATATTTTACAAGATACGGAGTAAATTTATTAAAATTATTTTTGTATCCAATGGAGTATCAAAATTAATTAATTAATAGTCACACTTTATCAATTTCAACGGTAAAAAATAAAAACTAGGATACACTTTGAAATGTGGGTAATATATTTGATTTAATTGTAAAGTTAGCATAAAAAATTGAGTAAATTTTATAGTTGGTCCTTTGTAACAAAAGAGTTTCTATATTTAGTCTTTTATTATCAAATGTTATTTCTGTAGTCTTTTTTAAGGATGCACATCCACAAATAATCCTTTTTTTATCTTCTACTATATTGGTTTTAATTTAAAGACACAGTGTAGTTTGACATTAACTTTATTTTGAGTGAGGTATTCTGATATTGGTTAGATAAATAACATAAAAATAATGACTACGATTATATTGTGGGTTGGTATTCTGACTAAAGACCACATGTGTAGACTATGGTTTAATAGAAAACAATTGTAATTCACAGACGGCGCATCAGGAGCGGCATTTGGATTGTGTATGACAATAAACATATATTATCATTGTGAAATTACACTTTTAGTCTTCAAATTAACACCAACATGATAAAAGATCAAAAAAACTTTTTGTGAAAAGATACTTATAAAAGAAAGGCTACCGAGGTAATATTTGATAATAGAAGACGAAATAACGAAATCGTCCCGGTATAAAAGGTCAATTATAGAATTTATTTTCAAAAATTAGCCATTATTCTATAAATTATTTTCCTTATGTATTTTCTATTGTTTGAATGTTTGTTGCTAATGAAAATAATACGGATTATTACAAAACACTCTGGAGTAAGTGTCACTACAACAACAACACACTTGAATTCTAAGAAATTCACAACCTTACTCCTACTCGAAGTGAGAGAGAGCATTTCCAAGAAATATAATTTATGTAACACCTCTTATTTCGAAGAATTTTTCCTGTAGTTTTTTTATATGTAAATTTTATTTTTTATTTCTATACCAATATGTAAATAAAATGAATTGAAAAAACATGATATTTTACCTCGGGAATACAAATGTGGCAAATAATTTGAGACGGAGGGAGTAAAGCACAAGCTCACATATTTGTAAAAAAGTTAGTCACATAGAAGTTAATGAAAAATATAAAATAATTCATATTTTAAATATAAATTTTGAAACCATTTAGATGTCACTTTTGAAAGTGATGGAATATTGGAGGGAAGAAATGGCAACTTAGAAAAAAATTTACAAAAAAAATTACTCGATTTTTTTTTGTAACCTTCCAAAAAGGAACATTGCGGAGTAATTAATTATTCATGCTCCCAGCTTAGTTTTTTTTTTTTTTGAAAATTTATCCAAAGAAATTACTTTGGAAATAATAACAGAAACTACAACTAACACTCCGAAGTATACTCCGCAATATACTACGAAGTATTGTTCTATCTGTATTAGGATTAGGATCAGCCCTCATTACTCATATTTATATATATGCCCTCTATCAAGTTTCGTATTTTATCATAAAACCCACTCATAAATCATAATTAGTTTCTTATTTTAACATGGGCTTCCTAACATCAAACACGGCGGCGGCGATTCAACCACGGCGGAGCGCCACCACTATGGCGGCCGGCGCGTTCTACTTACCCAAAGAAAGCCCGAAAAGGCCCCTCGGAGAAGACGCCCACTTCATCTACGCCGGAGGCCAGACCATCGGTGTGGCTGACGGCGTGGGCGCGTGGTCCTTCCATGGAGTCGACGCCGGAAAGTATTCCCGAATGCTCATGTCCAAAGCCGAAGCCTCCGCCCGTTCTCAGGCATGCGGCGGCGGCGCGGTCAATCCCATGAAAGCCTTGACGGACGCTTACGCCGGCACGAACGTTCTAGGCTCTTCGACGGCGTGTATTTTGACGTTAACGGATGACGGAGTCATCTCGGCCGTTAACGTGGGAGACAGCGGGTTCGCAATCGTGCGGGCCGGTTCGGTGGAGTACAAGTCCCCGGTCCAGCAGCGGGAGTTCAACTACCCGTTCCAACTCGGGAGGGGCATATGGTCGGACCGGCCGGGTGTGGCGGCCCGGATCAAGGTGGAAGTTCGGCCGGGTGACGTCATAGTGATGGCAACCGACGGGCTATTCGACAACGTTAAAGACGAATTGGTGGCGGAGTTGGTCGGCGGCGGCGAAGATGCGCCGGGAAAAGTGGCGGAGCGGTTAGCGAAGGAGGCGCTCAAGATCGCAAAGAGTAAGGACGTGGAAACGCCGATTGCGCTGGAGGCACGGAAAGCGGGGATAAACTATTCCGGCGGAAAGTACGATGACATCACGGTGATTGTCGCCTACGTTGAAGCTGCGGCAGATCAATCTGGAGCTGTTGCTGTAAATTTGTGAACATAGTTTTAATCTGAATTAAATATGCTTTGAGTTCTCTAAGAATTTGGTCAAAGTATCGCATTGGAGACCGTGAAAAGTCGAATGAGAAGTTAATTTTAGGACGGAGGGAGTAGCTCTTAATGGTTCAGACCTCTTACTGGTTCAGCACTTAATGGTTCAGACCTCTTACTGGTTCAGCACTTACCGATTCAGAAGTTGCCAAACAGCCCCTTAGACATAAAGATTTTGGGCACTCTATGATACTTCATTCTACAATATTCTTTACCTTTTTACCCCTCCTTATTCTTTACCTTTTTACCCCTCCTACCTAAGGGGGTGTATTCAATTAGGATTTTATTAGACTTTTTTAGATTTCAAAAAGTTAGTAGATTTGAAAATTTTATAAAATCCATGTAGAGTTTGGTTGATTTTTTATAGAATCCATGTAGAATTTGAAAATTTTGTAGAATCCATGTAGAGTTTAAAACATTTGTAAAATTCATTTAGAATATGATGACTTCTATTCACCCACCAAGGGAAGGACGGACGAGGACATGAGATAGAAGAAGATGACTTCTGTCCGCGAATCCAGATCCAAATCGAAAGCGGCCGCCCTTGATCGCGTGCGTCGAGTGAACAGATACGCCGCCGGACACCAACTGCTGCCACTCAACCTGCAGATCCGGCACCAGATCCGAATCCGAACTGCTGTCACTCCTCCAGCAGATCCGCCGCCGGACACCATTAGTGACGACCTTGATGCCCACGAAAGAGAGGATCGGACTTGGATTCTTAAAATCCTTTGTTTGGAGTAGGGATTTGTTCATAAACTTTTTATTGAAATTTCTACCTTCAAATCCATTAAAATCCATGTAGAATACAAATCTTTACAAATTCATGGAGTGTTGAATATCTTTAGATTTAGATAGAATTTTTAAAATCCAAATTCAATACATGCAGATTTTAAATGACTTTTTAAAATCTGAATTGAATACACTTAGATTTTAAATGATTTTTTAAAATCCTGATTGAATACCCACTGACTTTTAAAATCCAAAAAAATCCTGCAGAGTTTGGATTGAATACACCCCCTTTATATTTGTAGTTTATTTTTTAATTTTAACTTTGATGTGACAATCAAAGTAATTTAAAATGTGATGAGTATTATGATAATTTATGGTATGATAGGTTAGTAAGAAAAATAGAAGTAAATGTCGTCTTTAATAGAAGTAAAAAGTAAAAGAACTTTGGAGAAATAAAAAAATAAAAAAAAAATATTTTAAAAAACAAAAGGAGTAGTTTATAAAATTTGACAAAAATTATTTTTTAATATTAATTTATATAAGTGTAAGTGTAAATTAAAAAATAAATATTATATATAAAAAATCTAAATAAAAAATTTTACAAAACAAGAAATGACTTGACTATATTATTTTACTGAATAATTAACAAAAATAGATAAAAAAAATTGTTTAACCATGAGAATAATAATTAAAAAAAATTTTAAACCCGAGAGGAGTAGTTTTAAATTATGTCATCACTATAAAATACAAAGTTTATTTTTCACAAATAGTCTTTTTTAAATTTTATAAAAATTTAGATTTAATTTTTGACAATGAAGATTTAATTAACTCAAAAGCAAACCAAATTTGCTTTTGATCCTTGTAAATCCTGAAAAATTAACTCTAAACTAGTTGATGGACAATTTGCGTATAAATATACTCTGTATTTGACAATGAAGATTTAATTAAATTTTTTTCTAGAGGGACTAGAAGTTAAAGTCATTCATTTTATTGAGACCAAAAATATATATTTAACCATTTTACTTATTATGAACAGAAATTATCATTACTGCATCAACAAATGTAACGTAGAGCTTATGGGAGTAGAAATTCATACCATGTGATGGATCTCAACTGATCTAGCAAGAATATGAGTAATCGCATTCGTATCGTGTCTAACAAAAGAAATAAAAATAGAATGAAAGCTAGGCAACATGGCCTTAAATTACATATATTCATAATAAGTAAGATTCTGTTTTGTATACACAATTCAAACTATAGAATTGAATTTACAGATAATGATTCTAATTTTTTGTTTGGTAGCATACAAATATGTGAATCTGAAAATGGTTGTGCCATAAATGAATTGAATTTCGAGAATTCAATTCCATCAAATCACTTTCATAGAATATTAATTTTCAATTTAATTCTAATTTTATAAATTTCGTGTATCAAAATGACTCTAAGGGTCTGTTTGGTACATAGAATTGAAGAAATTGGAATTGAAATGAGTGTTGAAATTTCATGGAATTGATTTGGATGCAAATGAATTCTCCCATTCATATATAAGTTTGGCACTACCAATTCCAGTTTCCAAATTTTTATATCTTTGTATTACCAAAAAAATAAAAAATAATATTTATACTATCCTTTTGTCCCTAAGTAAATGGTAAAAATAATATTTATACTCTCCTTTTGTCCCTAAGTAAATGGTATGCACTCTATTTAAGTGGCCTAATTTTATTCATTTTTTTACCTATAATAATAGTAATAATAATAACGGTGGGATTCTAGTGACACTAGAAAATGGTGCCACTGGATTTTTGGGGCACCTCCCGTGCTCCGTTCGTAAAATTGACGGTTCCTACCCCCTAACCCACCCCTAAACCCCCCACCCTACCCCATCCCTCCGTAAACCCCCCACAAAATGTGTGGTTATTATGCAGCAGCAGCAGCAACAACAACAACAACAACAACAATAATCATTTTAATAGTAATAATAATCATTTTAATAGAAATAATTTTGACAAAAACAATAACTATAATAACAATAATAATAGGTAAAATATGCTTACATACTTTTTTTAAGTTTTTCCTATTTTTTTCCGATTTTTTCAAGTTTCTTCTGAATCTAGTTCTTTCGAGATTTTTGAGTATTTTCCAGTTTATTTCAACATCTAGCTTTTTGTCTAGCATAATTAAAGAACATACTCTAATCAATTATTTTTATATGATTATCTAAGTCTATCAATTTTAAAAGCAAAAAATAAAAAAAAAACGACAAATAGTGAAAAATGGAAGTAGTAACGTTCGTAAATCAAACGACCTCATAATATTGTTTATTCATCACATAAATTAAATGGCTAAATCCCATGCTCATGCTCATCAAATTTTACGATAAACCAATAAAATAGGGTTTGGCCTCTATTAGGATTAGGATTAGTCGTCATTTTATTATATAAATATATACACACTCTCATCGATCTATCTTGGTTGAGCATGCAACACAATCAATTTTCTTATTTCATCATATCATAAAACCCACTCATAATTAGCTTACTCCCTAGTATTTTAAAATGGGCTGCATAACATCAACCCCGGTGGCGCCGCTTCAACCACCGCCGAGAGCCACAATGATGGTGGCCGGCGCGTTCTACTTGCCCAAAGAAAACAAGAAAAAGCCACTCGGAGAGGACGCCCACTTCATCTGCTCCGAAGGGCACACCATCGGCGTGGCTGACGGCGTTGGCTCGTGGTCCTCGTTTGGAGTCGACGCCGGAAACTATTCCCGGATGCTCATGTCCAAGGCCGAAGCCTCCGCCCGTTCTCAGGCAGGCGGCGGCGGCGGGGTCAATCCCATGAAAGCGTTCAACTACCCGTTCCAACTCGGGAGATACAAAGAGGCGGACCGGCCCGTTGTGGCGGCCCGGATCAAAGTGGATGTTCGGCCGGGTGACGTCATAGTGATGGCAACCGACGGGCTGTTCGACAACGTCAAAGACGATGCGGTGGCGGAGCTGGTCGGCGGCGGTGGAGGTTCCCCGGGAAAAGCGGCGGAACGGTTAGCGAAGGAGGCTCTCAAGATCGCCAGGAGTAAGGACGTGGAAACGCCGTTTGCGGTGGAGGCTCGGAAAGCGGGGAGGAAAATCTCCGGCGGGAAGTATGATGATATCACGGTGATTGTGGCCTACATTAAAGCTGCGGCAGATTAACTTGGAGCTATCACTCAAAATTTGGGTACATAGTTTTAATTTGACTTCTCCAAAAATTCTTTTGACTTGTCTAAAATAATCCCACTTTTTAACTACTTAGACTTCGTTCTTCTTCGCAAGCTAAAGATCCGTTACACATAATGAATGTTTTTTTGGACTTAGAAAATAGAAAACCAGTGATTTTGTGTTTTGTAAGAAATGTTTTATAAAATATCCAAATCGAATTTGTTTTTTTTCCTTGTAAATCCTTAAAAATTAACTCTATATTGTAAGTGGACCATCTGCAAATAAATATACTTGACGATGATGATTTAATTAAATAAAATTATATGGACTGAAAGTTAATGTCATTCATTTTATTGAGACCAAAAATATATTTAAGCCTTATACTTATTATGAACAAAGTTATCAATACTGCATCAACAAATATAACACGGAGTTTAGGGGAGTAGGAACTCATGGATCTGAGCTGACCTAGCAAGAGTGCGAGTAATCATATTTGTATCGCACTAAGTGAAATAAAACTAGAATGAAAGCTAGCCAAATAGGATATTAATAGATACTACATTCAAGACCATAGAAAAACAAATATGAAAATAATTTTGGGATAAAGAAAGTAATATTTTTATGTAGAGTGATGCTTACATGGTCCTAACATTCACATTTAAAATGTGGATCTTCTCACATTTTTTATGTGCTTACATGTTGATATTTTGTTTGAAAAACGCACACTTCTTTTATGCTACAAATGCATTAACTTTCAGTCTTAATTTCTAACCTTTTATATTTATTTCTAACCTTTTATATTTAATTATATTCTAACTTTAAGTCTTAATTTCTTTCAAGTTTTTCCAAAGTTTGTTTTAAAAATTAATTATTTGTTTTTATTCTTTTCAAGAGTGATAATTTGTTTTTATTCTTTTCAAGAGTGATTTAAAAATTAATTATTTGTTAGTTGGTACGAATTAAAAAAACAAAACTTATACATTCAAAAATTATATCAAAAGATTTACTCCAATGTGAGAATTTATTAAATTTATTCTTGTCATGGGCCGAAAGCCCGTTAACCTCGAGACCACTCAAAGCTCGTTAACCCTCGGTGATAGTTTTTAGGTTTTACTCTATAAAGTCCAAACCAATCAGCTTGATTCAAAAAGCCCACAATTACTTTCCCATTAATGGTCAGTTGGTCACGTGGCAACTTCCATGTCATATTGCTCCCTAAAATATAATTCCTCCCTTAGGGGATTTTAGTAGGAAAGATTAAGGACAAGAAGTACCAACATTATTTTTAAACATAACTGAATTAAAAAAAAATTCAGTTATTCAAAAACAAGAATGAGTTTTCAATAACTCATAAATGAGCATTCGCCACGAATGTACGATGAAACACAGTGGCTCTGTTTGGCATCATCGTTAGAGATTAGCATTAACATTTTGAAAAGATTATTCAATGACAACTTTAGTGTTAGTATTTTCAGAATTTATCTACATTATTAAAATTGTATCCAGAACACTAACACTAATCAAAAATGATTTTCACAAAAAGTCCACGATATATATGAGATAAACTTTCCTCATATACGATTTCTCTAGCATTTGTCCGATTCTTTAGGTTCAAGGGACGCTTTTTTATTCCTATTTGTCGGTCCAAAAACAATGGAATATGACTTGACCCCGCATTTGGGCCTAACAGATAGAGATTTTTGGACCCACTGGTCGGTCACCATTTTCTGCACAAATGGGCCCGATTACTTTAGCAGCTTTGCAGAAAATACTCAACTTTTCTTTACGAGCATATTATGGTGTTTTATAAAGAAAAACAAATTATTTAATTTAAATAAAAAATAATGAGAAATTAAAAAAATTATATAACCCATATTTAAAAGATATGGAATGCATCAAAAGTTCTACAACACAATGTTTTTTTTTGAAAAATAACTTATTTAATATAATTGAGTTTTGAAAAATAACTTATTTAGTAAATTTATATACCCGCATTTGTTATTGTTATTAATATTTCTATTATTATTATTATTATTACTATTATTATAACTGTTAAAATAATTTTAATTCAATTCGAATTTATACCAGATTAGATCGCACCAAATCAGATTAAATTAGATCATATCCAATCAGATTAGGTTAGATCAGATCAGAACTTTAGGGGATTAAATCAGATTAGGCGAATGGAACACAACCATATTCAGGTTCAACACCAAACAACGACAATAAAACTAATCATGTTATGCATTACTGCAGTCGGTCAGGTCGAGTTCGATCACTTCGAGTTTGAGATGCTTCAAGTTTGGATAAGTTTGAGTAGAGAACTGCATATTCGTGAACCAATATCATCGCATTTGGATCGATCAAACGGGTTATGACCTTTATTTAAAAATAACATATACTCCGTAAGTAATTGTTATGATCGAGTCTCAATATTATGAATAAAAACAAAATTTGCAACAGTTTTGGAAAAAAATAATATACCTACGCAAATATAAATTCATTGTATGAAAATATAAACTCATATATTAAAGATATTAAATTTCATAGACATTGAATTTCATATTAAAGTATATACTTTTGAAACATTTTTATATTAGCAGATTGGTAAGTTGGGTAAGGTCGAATTTGAGTTTGATCTATTTAACCTTTTTTTAGCGGGTCAAATGTTGTGACTCCGGTCAATGAGTCGGATTATTTTTTGTTATGTCCCTGCATATTACATACTCCGTATAACCCAAACACCCCCCTCCTTTGATCGGCACCGGTCAAAGCTTACTTTACTCTATATCAACCTCCAGGTACAGGTAGTAACCAAGACCATTATAATTGGGAATTTGGGATTCAACTTTTTTCAAATAAAAAGGGAAATGCTAGGTTCACAAATAAAATGGTCACAAATCTCACAAAGTTACTATTTGTGAACTTCAATAAAAAGAATAAAATACAAAATAGTTTAAAATAATTTTAAAAAGAGAATTTAAACCATAATTGGTGAGTGTGCGAGCTTTGTGATCACTTTGCTTGTGAACCTAGTATTGCTCAATAAAAAAATAGAAAATTTTAAAAGCAAAAAATATGGACCATAAGAGCATCTTCAAGGGATAGTGTAAAAGTTGGTAGTGTAAATGCAATTTTACACTATCAACAGTGTTTTACACATCTACTTTTTTATACTCACTCCAACCATATTTTTTATATTATACACTTTTGTAATATTTTATTATTTTGAGTTATTTATGCATAATAATTATTATTTATAATCAGAGCATTTAACAGATTGGGTTGTTTTAAATTGTGGTATTTCAACTCTCTGGTGCTAATCATATTTCTTATCAAACAGATTGTATAAAATTTAACAAACAGTACCTACGGTGAGATATAGACCATAAACAAAAATTTTAAAAAATGCAGTATTTATATATCTACAATAAAAAATTGCATATATGTAGCTTAATATGAATTTAATTCCCAAATTAAGGCTACACACCTACTGTTCCTTTCAATATAGTAACCATTAAAGCCAAATTTGTTTCAAAATTAAAGAAAGAAACAATCCATTTAAACTTAGGTTTCACTTAAAATTGGGGGATGAATCGGAATGGCATCACACTAAAATAATTAGCCATAAACATAATTAATATAAATTTTCTAGCAATTTACCTGAGAAAGTGAATGGAATGAGCACAGCAGCACCGGTGATTTTGGATTGAAGAAGACAGCAGAGAGGAGGGGGAGGGAGTGACGAGAGAAAAAAGGGCCACAAAATAATTTTAAAAACTATTTTCCCTATCTACAGTAACTTGTAGAAATAGAAGGTGTGAGTTGCTTTTTGCACTATAGTGCATTTTATCATCACATTTACACTCTCCCTTGGAGTTAGATAAAATGAAAAATAAAGTGTAAAAAGTGTATATTTTACAATATACCCAATGCATTGGAGATGCTCTAAGGATTAGTTTCTTTATCGCTTTTCTTTTGGGTCGTTCAAATTTTTTTCCTTGTTTTATATTTTGGCAACAAAATTTTAATGAATGTGAGATTATATGCTTACTTTTATCTACACCATTCACTTTATTTTCTCACATCAAGAGTAAACATTAAATATTTTTACATTTTTTAGTTTTTCTTACTTCCCGTACAAAATTAAATCGAAGAATAAATTTTCAAACAGAGAAAGTACATTATGATCAAGGAAATAACATTGACAAAATATTTAAAAAAGAATATTCTCTAAAAAGAGGCCAAATTCTAAAAGGGAATAGCATCAGCAAACATATTCTGCAGATTCCAAATAGGGGAAGAATCAACGGTCCATATTCTCCCAATCTCCCTCATGGAGTCATACTACCGTTGTTCCAAATTTATGACCACTTTAAACAATGTGCAAAATATTATATTTTCTAAATGATTTTTGTTTATAAATTGGTTGGAAACTAAAAAACACAAATTACATACTTAAAATTTAAATAAATAATTGTGCTAAATAAGTAATTAATTACAATTGTTAGAATATAAATAACTCTTCTTGGGCTACAACTACAAGCTTGAGCTTTTGGTTGAGTTGGTTCTTTGACATGGTATTAGAGCCTTGTTGACTAAGAGATCACGGGTTCGAAACTCAGCGCCACCCAATTTTAAGAAATTTAAAGTTTCACGTGCAAGGCTCTAAAAAAAACTATGCCTGCACATGTGGGGTGTGTTAGAATATAAATAACTCTTCTTGGGCCACAACCACAAGCTTGCTTTTGGTTGAGTTGGTTCCTTGACAACAACATACTTTAGTTTATCAAATACACTATGAAAAACATTGAAAAACTATCATCGAAACCCTAAATAATAACTAGACTACATTTTTTACAGATAGAGAGAGTATTTAGGCAAAGAGTTGAGGGAGAACTACGAATAAAAGGAAATCTAGATTAATTCTAAAATTGCTAAGGCTAAAATCAATCTTCCTAATTGCCAAATGGGCCATGATCAAATTTTGATTAGTTTTTGTTACTATTTAAGCACTCACTTCATAAAATAATACTTTCATCTCATATATTGATTGGTGTTTGACTCTTTACAATTTCTAAACATATTTTGGATTATATTTGTTTGATCCCAATATTTAAACTTTAATGTTTAATCTCTGTCTTACAGATGTTACAATTATGGAACAATATCGAATATCGATAACGCTCTTGTAAGGTTAGGATTAAATTTTGAAATTCAAATTTTGAAGTTAAAATGCTTGTATCATTTTTTTCGTTTTTTTTTCTGTTCCAAATTTCATAAATAAAAAAGGAGAAATAAAATGACTGGAGGAAATTTAGGAATAAAGGAAGAATGGGGTCCCGCAAAATAAATAGACATGCCAAAAGAGCGCGTGTTAGGAAAGGTCATGGAAAACCTAACCCCAACGCCAAGCAGCGAACCAACTGCTCCTCCGGTCCGGACCCGACCCGACATGGCGACTATAAATTCTCCATCTTCTCCCCCCATTACAACGCAGCAATCGTTCATTCATATGGGATCTGACGTTTGGGACCTCTTCCTCTAGCGTTCCGTCGTCGTCTTCTTCTTTCTCTTCTGGTTTTCCTGCAAAAATCCGTGGAAGAAGAGATCGAGATTCGTCAGCGATGGGGATATTGGATGCAGGAGTGAGAATCGCCGCGAGGTTCAATTCTCACTGCCCTCAGACGTCGAGGATGTACTACCATCCTCCTCCGCCGCCTCCGCCGCCGAAACAGGATGATTCGGCGAATCGCCGCCCCGACGCCGGAGATGCTTCCGGTAAGAACTGTGGCGCGGCTGGTACGCTCTTCTCCAAGGCGGCCGCAGGGATCGATCCGGCTCATTTCATTCTCTATACTGTTTGAATTTAATGGATCCATTGCAAAGCCATATCATTTTTTGAATTAATTGTTAGATCGAGCGTCACATTCATTGAATATTGTTCGTCCTTTAATTGGATCTGTACTCGAATCATCATTTTTGCTTGAATCTATTCATTGAATCGTTCAATTTGTTATTTTGGCTTCGTTCTTCCAAAAGATTCCATACCCGTATCTATTTGCAGAAATTCGTGTTTGAAATTGAATTGGTCAAATGTGAATTGTCTGCAGAAAAGTTCACAGGGTGGTTCTCCCATGTTCGCCCAACGTCAAATTAGTCAATAAAACGTAAAAACTTATTTATCTGTTCGTATAAAAAATTTACACCTTTCTTTGAAAGAACACTTCTATAAATCATAGGAATTTTACAATGAATTCATGCTTTAATTTTACATATTACGGAGTATATTTTTGAGTAAATTTCTAAAATAGTCTCTAATATTATCTTTCCAAATTAGTCTCCAAGATTACTAATTATTGAATTGATAGCTGCTAATTGAAAATAATGTTTAGTTAAGTTTCTCGACTACGGATTGTTAGGACAGTGTCAAAATGTCACTAAAATTAATGCTAATTTCCAAATATGTCATACTCTGTATATAATTGGATGTTTTTCATATTAGTTCAGTTTCACTGCAAAAATTCATTTAATATGAAAAAACCGAAACATTTTTCTTTCCTTTAAATTGATTCATGGTTTTTGAGCGATTTCGACTATTTTTTATGAGATTTTATTTAAAAAATTGACTAATTAAAAAACATTGTTTAAAAATGATCATTTTGGAAATAAGTATAAGTTTTAATGTCTTTTTGAATCAATTTTGATGGCAGTTCGGATGGACAAAATTGAGTACTCCGTATTATTTTTAATTAACGAATGTCATTTAAGTAATTAGTTTACCTTAAAGATTAATTACAAAAAAATACCTCGTTATTGAGTATCTTTTTTAGTTTTTTTTTTTAATTTTTTGAAACTACACTATATTCAATTTTGATATTGAATATGGATTCGAAACAGACCTGACTTGTTGGGCCGCGTTTCGAGTTGGGCGAGCTGCTCCATTAAGAAAATCATCTAAAGGCCTAAAGCCCAAGCCTGCTTGGCCTGGCTCTCGTTTCGAGCTAATAATGTCGATTTTAAAATTAAGATATACTCCGTACGAAGTATGTAACTTACTAACTTGTTTGTATTGTTTGTTTATTACTCCCCTCATTCATAAATAAATTTCTCGTTCACTATTCACAGGGTCAAATTTTATTTATTTTATTGGCTATTTATTTTGTCTTATTTAATAAAATAATATAGTCATGTAACTTCTAGTTTTGTAAATTTTTTCATGTAATTTTTTAATATTTAATTTTTTATTTTTAAATTTCATAGCATTTTTCATATAAAATGATTTGAAAATAACTTCAGTGAAACATTGTAACGCGCAACGAAAAGTTTATTTATGTACGGAGGGAGTACTTTTTAAAATCATTATTATTTTTCTGATGAACAATGAAAACTATGCTTATTTGATTCAAGTGAAATTTGCAGTGAATAGGACCAAAACATAAGTAATTTTCTAATGTACGACTTAAACTTTTATATTCACTAAATAAACTTAATAATGACCAGTGAAAAAAATAATGTCCAAGTGATGCTGGACATTTAGTTGAATAATGACTACTTGGTCCGTCCCTGAGTGTTTGTCCACTTTTGACTTTTGGAACTGTTCATCTAAGCACTTTGACTCATCAAATTCTCTCAATGTGTAAGCTTAAAAATAGTCATGTGTGATCTTGTTTGATTCGTCTTAATATATAGATTATTAATATATAATTTTTATAATTTTCTAATATACAAATTACAAGATAAAATGGATTAAAGAAGTGCATTGAATAGTGTGCAAAAATGAAAGTGGACAAAAACTCAGAGACGGAGGGAGTAATAGATAATGACCAATGATCCTACATTGGAAAATAAAAACATATGATCCTGGATCAAGAAAAATTACTACTACCTCCGTCCTAGAGTATTTGTCCACTTTTATTTTTACACACCATCCAATGCAGTTCTTTAATCCATTTTATCTTGTAATTTGTATATTAAAAAATATAGAAATTATATATTAATAATCTATATGTTAAGAAAAATCAAACAAGATCACACATGACTATATTTAGGCTTACACATTGAGAGAATTTGATGAGTCAAATTGCTTAGATGAACAGTTCCAAAAGTCAAAACTGAACAAATACTCTGAGACGGAGGGAGTAAGAGATAACATAACTAAATTATTTTATTTTTAATGAGTAACAAATATAAGTAAAGTAGATAATTAGATTTGACCTTGTGTATTGTAAAAATACAATTTAATTTGTAACGAAAAGAGCATTATTTTTGTACTAGTATGATTAACTTTACTCTTTAGTAATACTAGATCGGGCCCGGCCCGCATGGTTCGACCCCTACTCTTAACTTTGTGGAGCCCTATTATGGCCTGGGCTAGTTCATACCACAAAAATCCAAACCCAAGCTCGTTGGTTTACAACGGGGCTTTCACGAGTGAGTCGGGGACTTAAGCCCGTGAATGAGAGATGCTTGAAATAATTCTCTCACTTAAATAATTTCCAACCATATATTTATTTATTTTTCAAAAGTTTTTTTTTTAAATTTTGTTAAAATGAAACAGTAACACTATGTTTGGTTCAAAGGATTTGAAAGAAAAAAGAAAAAAATTGAAGTGGAAAACAAATTTTTTGTTTGGTGAGGAAAATGAGAGAAAGCTATTTTTTTTCTTTTACTCAAAAAAGAAATAAGTTTCTCTCATTTACTCAAAAACAAACAAAAACATTATTTAAAACTAATTTTCCTATTAATCAAACATGATTAGAATTTTTCATTTTATTGACCTTTTCTTTTTCTTAACATTTCCATTTCTTTCATACTTCCCCAAACCAAACATAGTGTTCTAGTTACTATCAATAGAGATTGATTGCCAAACTACATAAGAAGAAAAGAAGATGAGCTAAGAAAGCTTGGCAAATTATTTCAAAAGAAAAAAGAATGCTTGGCAAATAGGTGAAAAACCGGAAGATTTGAGATCAAACACACAATCAAAGCAACACAAGCAATGTGCATATAACAAAAACCAATATGTAGAAAATACATTTTGTAGTACATGGGAATTATATCCACATTTTGCTTTTGCATCACTCGGTGGTAGAGATCGGCTTGCGTGCCACGAAGAAATACATTGGCGTGAAGATACCTTTCCTGAACGAAACGCAAACTTATAACGTTACTTGCCAATCTATCTAAGGAAAATGTTGTTTTAACTCGGAAATTTCATGGATGACATCAAAGACTTCAAAGTTGACACTACAGATATAATCGCGCACAGATAATAATTATGGTCCTTGAAAGAGTCATTGTCACCAAAACACTAGTGGTGTCAAATCCATGGTGTGACTGCAACATGACTCTTTATCTAACATGTCACAAATACTCATGTTGATCTTGTATCAAGACTAAAAAATAAAAGATCAACCTAACAGGGTCATGAGCTTAATAGACCGTATGTTTTAAGACCATATTAAAGACTTGGTTCCTCCTTAAAATGTCAACCTAACCGGAGGAATGACCTAATGTCTTGTTTGTATTTTGTGTTTTTTCGTGATTGTCAAGGGATGGCCTAACAATTACTCCATCAGTTTTCAATAACGGTTCATTATAACTTTTCACATACATTAAAAACAGAACGAATCTAGACATACGTTATGTCCAAATTCATTTGATCCTTAATGTATGTAGAAAATCATAAAGAACAATTATTTAAGAACGGATGGAGTAGGACCTAACGTGGTGAACAAACAGTATGAATAGCAAAAAAACAACTCACTTTCCACCGGCAACAAGTCCTTCTGCTGCTTTCTCTAAGAAATCTTGAACCCTTTGACTTCCTTTGGGAGCAACACCCACATATTCAAGTGCCTTGACCTACACGAAGAGTGTTAATTAGCAACCTCAATGCAGGTCGGTTATTGGATGCGGCGTATTAAACAACAGATCTTACAAGGTTTCTAGTCAAAAGGCGTCCAAGTGCTGTTAGACGGAAGCTGCTGAGTGAGATGTGACTTGTATCCAATGGCAAATACCAAGGGATAGGCGAGTTCTCCGCAAGATCACTCTCCCAAACCACCTACATAAGTAATGGCATGTTAAGAACAAAGTTAAATCTAACTCAATCCCAAAAGACCTCTCAACAAGTGTACTTATTAGGAGGTTCATCCAACCACAAGTCTCCGCGGCATTAGCGATGAGAGTTCACATCATTTGAGCCAAGCCAAGCGAAGCCATTTGTATAGGTGTCAAAAGAACCATGGTGATATAAATTTCATACTCACTTCAAACCCAGCTTTCTTGACTGCTTCAAGACATTGTGTAGTGAGCCTCACATCAGGGAGGCCATTACCAAGCTCAATTTCTAGCTGAAATCATTAAAAACATTGGGAATTACAAAAAAAGGCCGCGATGCAAAGAGAAACCTATAGCTACATAAAAGTGACATGCATTATAACTTTATGAACACCTTGATCTTTTTATGGTCTGCGTTGTTAGGGTCATAGGAATCCGTCATGCACCATTCATAAGCAGCAAAACACTGTCCTGGTTTCAGTACCCTATGTATCTCCTTGTAGCACTCAACCTTTGCATGAAAGTCAATCAAATCAAACCAGAGAAGAGAGAACATTGAGATAGAAAGAAGAGTACAGTAACAGATGAAGTCACTTGAAATGCTAATTAATCAAAGCAAAAATGTTACATACTGCATCTGGTGCATGGCATGTGGCTTCAATTGCATACACGGCATCAAAGCTATTGTCGGGGAAGGGCATTTTCATAAAATCTGCCTGCCATGTAACCAATAACCAATCAACGGGTGTTTGGGACGATGAGTCATATATAATAAAGATTGAATGATTGAGTAGGTTACTGACCTTCACAAAGTCACAAGTCTTGTCTACGCCTGCTTTATGGTTCAACATCTATAGAGTAACTGAGTTAGTAGGGTATGCCGGAATGAAACATGAAGACTAGATAATATCTGAAAAATATGCATAACAGACAATACTATTTTTAAGCTGAGGTAGAATTCAGAACTTTCACCTTCCCTCTAGATATCTGATATTCATTGTTGTTGAGGCCTGTGACCTTTGTAAGGCTGCATGAAATCAAGAAAAGTATGAGTCTCTCAAGTCCCATTGTCACAAAAGGGAACTGATGAAAAAACAGTGTCCTATGGAGCACTAAACAATTGACTCAAATCTGGCATCTAGGGGGGGCATAGGATGTTTAGCTTTAGTGATTTGAAAATGTTATCTATTGGCAGTGTTTTGAGTATTGAATGGTAACCTGCACAGTTAAAACACTATCCAAAATGTTAACGCTAAATGAAAAAAAATATGTTCCCAAACAAGGCCTTAGACAGAGTCGATCTAACACCACTCACTCACCTGAAACGAGAGATTTCTCTTAATGGTCCGCCGACTCCACATCCTACGTCCAAGACCTATAGAGCATGAAGAAGAAAGTGTCGCTACATTGGCAAAATTTGATTAAAATAAATTGTTAAAATGATGGTCAATTTTTTTTGAATTGATAATACCGTACTACCTTCTGTCCGGGCTTCAAATTTAAGTGTAGAGCTAGAAAGTGTTCGTGACGCTTTATACTCTCTTGAAGAGATTCTCCATTCCATCTGAAGGAAAAGAGCAAAAATAAAAAAGAAAGTATTTAGTCAATCACAAACAGAGTATTATGGGATTTCATCAAATGGATGTGAAATAGTGAAAGAAGGCGATAGACTCCGATACCCACCTTGGTGCAAAATGGAATGATTCTCCCCAACCATATTCATAGAAACTAGTGACAAGATCATAGTATTTATTGACCTAAGGGAACACGAACATTTACTGTTAGACCGTAAATGCATAGTAGAAGAGAAAAATAGAGTGAACATTTACTGTTAGACGGTAAAAGCATAGTTGTATTTACTGCCCGAAACTTCATAGAAGGTAAGAAGCAAAGAGAGTTTAATGTGTCATTCTAATTTGGTCCATTATGTGCCTCAAGCTAAAACATTGTCAACAGAGTGAACATATTTCATACAAAAGCCAATGGAAACTATAGGTTCAGCATATTCATACATTCGTCACGAATATCAAAATGGAAAACTACAATCAACATAGCAATTCACAAAATATCACAATCACTTTAGTTCGATATAAAACTTCATTTGTTTTAATGTAATAACAACACGAGAGATTTAAGTAATTCCTTCTTCAGTCACTCATACACATAGCAGCTTAGCCGAAAAATCTAACAAACTGGATATCATTACCTCAAATTCACCACAGGTTCGGATTTAGAACAATAAATCCTAGTAAAATCCCAACACATTGGGGTCTGAGGAGGGTAGATGTATGAAAGCTTACCCCTACCATGAAGTAAAGAGGCTGTTTACAATAGCCTTTTGGGGGTCGAATTTGAGAAAAATACTCCCTCCGCCCCAAACTAGATCACACAATTTGAAGAACGCGCAAAGCCCTCTGCTTTTTAAATTTACTTTACTTACAAGTTGGTATAGAAATGAAAAATGCAACTTACATATTTAAAAACTACATCAAAAGTTCTACAAAATAAATGACAAGAATATTTTATTTTACCAAATGATCAATAAAAACATGGGAACAAATAAAATTTACGGGAGATCGGAAGAGTAACTGTGTAATCTATTTTGGGACGGATGGAGTTAAAAAGATTGCATTTTTTGGGAATAAGAGCATATAGATAAAATCAAGAGTGACGACCCAAAGTGCTTGAATTAATGGTTTGAGCTTAGTGGTACAGTAGTTCAATGCAATAACAAAGAACAAGTAGGAACACATGTGAATGCAATCAATAGAGTCTTAGAAGAATGGTCTCATCACCATGTCAGTGTAGTTATTCTTTCTGTCCTCCTCTTCACCACCATAGTAACCATGGTACTTCTCATACCTGATCCGATCAACCAAATCAAATCACAATTCGAAGAAACAAGAAAAATCAGAGCACTGAACAGAGAGAGAAGGAGAGAGAGGAGATACTTCTCAACGGCGGAGTGAACCTCGGACTTGTCGATCTTGCCGCCAAGCCCAGATGCGAAATCAAAGGTGTTAGACATCTCTCCTCGTCCGACCCACAGCTGCTGTTCCTGCGAATCAATCCAAAAGCCCAATGAGAAAAAACATCAAAAACCCACGACGACAAGCAGAATCGTCACATGCTCTCAAAGAAAAGGGAAAATCAGATTCTTTTTTAGGGAAAACGCAGTAAAGATCCAAACTTTAGCGGAAAAAGAAGACAATGCAGCTCACACTTATGGGGAAGCAGAGAGGATCTCGAGAGACCCTTTGGGAGAAATCAGAAATCTGGCGATGGAGAGAAAGAGAGGTGTGGAAAGGAGAGTGTGAAGAAATCTATGGAGGAGGATGATGATGATGGGCAAGATGGGAATGTTGTGGGGGGAGATGCCACGTGATACGGACCGCGGCACTGTACGGAATATGGTACTCTACTAAGATTGGGAGTTTGGTCTTGGGACGTCACTACGTCAGTCATATACCAAAGCCCATTAGAACTAGGGGATGCTAGAAGTACACCAAATATGTAATCCAAATATACACTCCCTTTTTACCATTTATTTTATTTTGTTTTTATTTTTATTTTTTTTTTGAATTTTTCTTGCTTTTTTTTGTGGCGATAGAGGAGGTGGGATGTTTGGGTACACTTTTGGTGTACCCCTAGCATTTTCCTTACGAGTAAGGACCCAAGTTTCAACGATTTTAAACCTGGACCGGAGGTCGACCCAGTGGAGAGGACGGGTCCTGGGACAATCCAGGGTTTTCCGGGATGAACCGGTTTTTTCTGAATTTTTTTGGGTTTTGCGGGGGTTGGATCAAACTGGTTGTGTGTTCGGGTCGCAGTTCGACCGGTTGAACCGCTCGATCCGGTCCGGGTTTAATAACACTGGTTTCAACCAATTTCAACTTCCTTTTTTATCTATGCATTTTTTCTCAGGGAGGGTATCTGAAAAGGTCTATCATATTATCTGGTGTAACATAGTGTTCATTTATCAGCCAAAATGTATTTATCTTCATCCCTACCAGATCGAAGGTTTATTTTTGAAGGCTATGTTCATCCAATCGTTGAAGCACTTCTGATTCGAGAGTCGTCGCCGCTCGAAGATCTAAGCTTGCGTTTCTTTTCACTGCAGCACCTCCGATCCGAGAGCCACTGCTACTCGACGATCTGAGTATGGGAAGAACCGTGCATACTTATGTAAGGTAGAACTTGCAAGTCTTTTTAGATAGTCTAAATCACTCTACTAACAAAAAGAATTGGATGCTCTCTCTCTCTCAATAACAATTTCTATAGTAAAATTATAACTTACGGAGTATTATTTTAGTTCTTTAGCCAAAATATATAAAAATACCAAAATACGGAGTAAGAGTTTTAATTCTTTTAAGACTAGAGAAGGAGTATAATGACAGTGATGTAAGAGTACGTGTTGGCAATGTGATGAAAAAGTTATGATAGTGTAATATGACAATATGATCAGTCAACCACCGGTGATTGGGGGCAGCACTCTGGTGACGAGTGTTGACGAATGGCAGTGTGACAACGATAGTGTGACAAATGCAGTGTGACAATGTGATGAGTGTAGCAGTACAATAATGACGGTGTGAACTCCTACTTTGACCTTAAAAAACTTAAAATCTTATTTCAGGATTTTCATAGCTTTTTACTCTTATTTAGAAAGTTCTCCAAAAAGCAATACTCCCCTCATTCTTGTTTAGTTGTTTTTTTCGATTTGCGTGTCAAATGTTCGACTAACTATATATAAAGGTATACAATGAATTAAAATATAAAAATTATACAAAATTATTGGCATTGAAAATACTTTAATGTATTATTTTTAATATTTTTTACGACTATATGTTTTAAGAGATACTACGTATTATTAATCAAACTTTAAGTTTGAAAGCAAACTAAATTGTTAAATAGGAGTGAAGGAAGTAATTCATTTCCAACCAATTACACCAAATTCAAATGTAAAATAATATTCTAACAATATATTCATTTTTTAGATTAATTTTCATGCTTTAAAAATTAAAAAAAATAGCAATAGAATCAATATGCTAAAAAATCAATAATGTAAGCTAAAAAAGTTTTAAAAAGTACAAAGTAATACGGAATACACATTTTTTATGAAAAATAAAAATTTATAGTTGAAAGTGATGTAAAAAAAAAAAAAGATTATGAGCTACTCAAAATTTTCTATAATGAGATTCTTTTATTGAAATATTTCAAAAAAAAAATTCCCATTGATGATATAGATGCTCTTAATTCTCCCAACAAAGAAATCTTTTTATCCCACACCTTTCAATCCATAATATGGATTGGTCATTTACATCCTCACTTAATATCTTTGAAAAATAATTACAAGGAGTGCAAAAAGTCATTAAAGTCCAACTCATTATTCATTCATGTTCATCTCTACTAATTACTCTCTTCGTCCCTATTTTGATTACCTATTAGGAGTTTGTTTCTGCTACTGCTTAATAATTTATTTACAAATTAATACATCAATAAAAATAAAAATTATGTTAAAAGTTCTAGAAAATGAGATATGACAAAAATATTTTATTTTATCAAATAGTTTCCAAATCACCCAAATAATAACCTCTGAATTCCACCAGTGTGTGCACATGTTCCAAACACATGGTATGTTTGGACATCACAATAAAATTATTTGTTCCTAAGATTGCATTCCCACGTTGCTTTAACAATATTTCTAATTTCACAATAAAAAAGTACATGTCCCAAACACTAAATCCGTCCCAAAAAACTGAGAAGATGAAAAAAAATCTGAAAACAAGCAGTAGCAGAAACAGAGAACTTAATAAGCAGCTCCAACAATGGGGGAGACCTTAACCTCGTCAAGAACAGGGCCGCAGAGACTCCCATAGTCATGGACCTTGTTGTGGTAGAAGGAGCTGAAGAAGGTCACCCTGGTGCGGGTCGAGACCGCCCTAAACTTGAACCCGGCGGTCTTGAACTGCCCCTTCCCGGAGGACCTGAAGGGCACTTTGAAGGCGCTCCTCGCGGCAAACGCCTCCACCATCATGTCCCCGTGGCAGCCGTTCCTCGCGTCCCCCACCGCGAAGGACAGGGCGTAGGACTTGTTTGGGACAGTCCTTAGGACCTGCGCGATCGCGCTCTCCCTCCCCGCCACCAGCTCCACCGCGCCGTGCCCCGAGGGGACGTTGAAGTGCGGCGCGTCTATGTACTTGACCGCCTTGAGGGACTCCACCACCCACCCCGGCAGCGGGGACACCGCGTCCTGCTGCCTCGGCGGGATGAGGACCCCGTTTGTTGCGTTGCTCAGGCACCGCGGCCCCTCCTCGAAACCGCCGTTCCTCACCAAGTTGCCTGATCAAGGGTTTCTTTGAACATTAGTCACCAATGTCATAATATAATAATGGGTCCATCCATTTGAGGTCCCAAAGTAGTTCATGCCCTAGCTCCCACCCCCCTCATTCTCCCCACCCGAAGAAGATGGCCTTGTATGGGTGGGGTGCAGGAGGAGATGAGGGGTGGGTTCCGAGGGGTAAGAAACTAAGAACTACTTTGGGGTCAGAGTAGCCTCAAATGTACCCAATATCAAGAAAAGCAGACATATAGTTGGGCGCTTCAGTGATTCATTCGTAAAATTGATGATTCCTAATTTCTTACATTCCCTAACTTCCCCACTAAACACAGCCCAACCCGAACCCACCCCTATCCCATCAATTGGACCCAATTTTTTTTACCCAAACTCAACTAAACTTGGGGAGTCCAATTGGCGAGAGTGGGGTGGGTTCGGATTGGGCCGGGGTAGGGGGTTTATCGGAAGGTTAAGGGAAGAAGCCAGTGGCACTCGAGTAGCACCGTTCCCCGGTGACAACGGAACCAATCCAATTTATGAATAGGTTCATTCATTTCTATACAACATATATGAAGTACAAATAAATGGGGGTGAAAGCATAGTGACCTGTGGAGGGCAAAGCAGGGCGGAGTTGCTTGATGGCAACGGCGTCGATGAGAGGGCCGCAGGCGGGGTCCTCCTGCACCCCGGGGTTGTGAAATGTCACATTTGCCCACTCAGAAGCAGCAGTAAACGCGTAGGCAACAACATCTCCTCCATTGCTGCTGTACAATGTCTGCAAGGGAATGTCCCCAGACAGAGGGGGCACCCCCACCCTCAGCACCTCTTCCTGCGCGCACGTCCTGGAGGCTGCGAATGTCAAAGCGTAGGCCCGCCCCTTCTCCACGCGGATCGCCTGGGAGATCGAGGCATCGTTTCCCAGCCTGACCGCGTGGGCCCCGTGCGCGACCTGGAAGAACATCCCGCCGGGCTGTGGCCCCGCGGAGATGTACTCCACCAGGCCGGAGATTTCCCATTTGGGTAGGGCGTGTTTGCCTTGGAGAGTGGTTTTCTTGATGTCCCTTGGGTTTGGGCCCTCTTCAAAGTTCCCATTTGGAAGGAATCCTTTTTTCACACATCAAAACACACACACACACACAAGATCAGCAAAACAATTGGAATCTCTCAGTTCAGTCCGTTCATTATGCATAAAATGACATTACAAGATCGAATTCAATCGATTGTCCAATCTAAACACACAAAGAAAACAAAAACTTTATGAAACTTCATCCATATAGTGAGACATGTCAATATGGTTTATATGGCCATAACACATAAACCAATTGAATAAACAAAAGAGGGTTTTGAATCTCAGGTGGGTGTTCAAAAAAAAAAAGATTGTGTACTATGAGAGAACTTGAAACAGTACGGCAGACATGTCTGAGCTAAATTGAGGTAATTGCATTTAACAGTGAAAGGAAGAACAAGTAGGGCCAAGAATTAAAGGAGATCTAGTCTAGGCTGTCTAGCTACAATGAAGATGAAGAAGAAGACACAGAATCAGAAATTATGAGGTAAATACTGTAAAAATGATACCTTCAAGATGAGGGTTGAGAGCATGGACGGCCAGGATGGAGAGGAATTGGAGGAAAAGTGAGATCTTGACCACCATTTTTGCCTTTCTTTTGGGGTTATAGAATGGATGGGTTTGAAAATTTTGAAGATAACGTGGAATGGGGAGGGAGGGGGGGGGGGGAGCTTCTTTCTTCTCTTAATCTTCTTCAATCTTCTGCGGTGCTTTACTGGATTTATATACTATTGCAGATTTGCAGTATTGCTGGTTCAATAATGATGTTTTCTTTGAAGATGGGAGTAAAATATTGGGTTTTTATTGTAGATAGGAGTAGAATATTGATGGTGATAAGACAATTCAAAATAGTGGGAGAAATCCAAATCACCTCCACAATCCACGCAGCAGAAGCAGCTCCATTTTTGCAAGTCTACTTCATTTATTGTTCCATGGATTTCCTTTCCTCCTTCGTGCCACATTTGTACTCCCATTTTTGTAAGTGTGCACTTTTATTGTTTTATGTAATGCTAGGTGATAATTTATACAGATTAATTTTTGTTAACGTACCAACATTTTGTGACAAATATTTTTTTAAAATCACATCACTACTCTCGCCTTTATTAATTAATTATTATCTATACATATACTTTATTTCACCTTTTGCAAAGATCTATCGATGAATATAGAAATTCAAAATATTTTTAATTTTTTCCTAATTTGCATGCAAAGTTAAAGTCAGAAGATTATTTTTGTAGAGATACAATGTTGGTCAAACTTTAGATTTGAATTATATTGCGATGGAAAGATAGTTATTTTTATTGAAATCAACTAAATTTAAAATAATTTAAAATATAACTAAAATTAAATCAAGACTTATTCGGATTAGATTGAATCAATCAAATAAATGAAAGAGAATAAAATTTATACTTGCCCTCCCCAACCAAATCGTAACATCAAATCCATGCGGGTGAGGCGTAGTTTAGTGGTTGGCATGTGAGTTCTATGCAGAAGAGATCCTGAGTTCGAAGTCTGGTGATTACAAATGAGAGACAATCATGAAAAGCATAAGTCTCCGCAAGTATCAGACACGAAACTCACCTTTATGCTAATAGTTTGAGATTATAACTCAATTATCTTCTAAATCTTCACCTCGAAAATGAGGTGTCTCTACTAATTTTGTAGATTTTTGATGTATTATTTTAATATGTAATTTTTATTTTTTAACTCTATACCATTTGTCATATAAAATGATTAGAAAATAATTTTAGTCAAACATCGTAAACTAAAATAGACAATATAAATTGGGATTGAGACTTACGGAGTATATCAAACCCATGTGAGGATTTGACTGGTGATGACATTGACGAAAAACACCCATCTATTTGCCGCCCAAAAGCAAACCCATTCCAACTGCAGACCCCACGTGGCATGGGCCTAAAATGTTTTAATTTAATATTAGACTAAATTCCATAATTAGTCCTTTATAATAGGGGTTTTCATATTTAGTCCTCTATTATCAAATATTACATCCGTAGTCCTTTTTTTAAGGGTACCTTTCCACAAATGGTCCTTTTTTTGATCTTCTGCTGTGTTGGTGTTAATTTAAAGGCTAAAAGTATAATTTGACATCAACATTATGTTTAGTGACGTGTTCTGATATTGGTTAAGCGGATAACACAAAAATAATGACTATGGTTGTGGGCTAGGGTTCTGACGAAAGACCACATTTGTAGACTATGGTTGTAGTAGAAAGCGACTGTAATTCACAAACGACGCAAACGGAACAGCCTTTGAAATTGTGTGTGACAAAAAAGATATATTTTCATTGTGAAATTACACTTTTAGCTCTCAAATTAACACCAACATGATAGAAGATCAAAAAAAGGACTATTTGTGGAAAGACACCCATAAAAGAAGGACCACTTGGATTATATTTGATAATAGAAGACTAATTAGGGAAACCTCCCTATTATAAAGGACCAATTATAGAATTTACTCTTAATATTAATACTTTCTCCCTCTCTAATTTGATTATAAATTGGAATTTTACGAAGTAAAATCTATCATCTTTTAAAATTATTTTATTTATAAATTAATATATAAATACGAAATAAAAGTTACATATTAAAAAATTACGTCAAAAATTCTACAAAACGAAATATGACAAAAATATTTTATTTTGTTAAATATCAATGATAACACACAAATAAATAAAATTTTCGAGAGGAAAGAAAACAATTGTGATCTATTTCGGGACGTAGAGAATATGACCTTTTATACTCAATCAGGTTCAAGATTTTATAATTAAATTAAAATTATAATCTGTATTATATATTACTCCGTATTAAGTAAAATAACGTTTTATACAGAGCAATATTTTATAGGATAAATTTAATAAAATTATTCTTGTATTAATATCTCATTTAAAAAAATTTACAAAATTTAGTTTTGATCAATGTTTATCAATTTTTTATTACAAAAAAATTTAAACTTAGATAAATACTCCCTCCGTCCCGCTATATTCGTCCACTTTTGACTTTTGGAACTGTTCATCTAAGTACTTTGACTCATCAAATTCTCTCAATGTGTAAGCCTAAATATAGTCATGTGTGATCTTGTTTGATTTGTCTTAACATATAGAAAGTGGACAAATTCTCTGGGACGGTGGAAGTAGGATGGATCATGAATGTAGTAACATTCTTTCATTCAAGTATAATGATTTAGTTTGACTTTTCATAGTGAAGCTAGATTAATTTTATCTATAAATTTATTAAAAATTACTCGTTATTATATACTAATCCATACTAAATAAAATAATTTTTTACAGAATAAATATAATTAAATCCTTTTGTACTAATATGAAATATAATTTTTGTTAAATTAATGATTAAATTGTATTCAGTTGCATGTTAGCAGTCAAATTGAATAAACACGTCAAACGAAAACGGTAAAAAAATGATACTCACTTTGACTTGTCATGATTAGAAACTTCGTTTGCACTATAACTTTTTTTTTCAATGCTTCTTTCATCTTACAATTATCTTCTATTTTTAGTTTCTTACAAACAGATATTAATTCTCGATACTTTGTTTGCAAAAGAGATGAGGTGCATATTTGGTACCGAGTAGTAGTTTCTAGTATATTTAATTGCAACATTTAGTTTGACTATTTTCAAATTAGTTGGTAGGATTAAAAATATACACAATTAAAAAGTTGTTCATTCCATCCATGCCAAACTTTTTCATTTTCTCACATTCTATAAATCAATTTCTCTAAATTCATCAGGCTTGTACCCCAGATTTTCAGTAACCTAAAATATAATGTAAAAAAGCTTTACATATTGCCGAGGAACGAAGGCTTCTATATCAGATCAAACTTTTGGATTCTCGATGGAAAAAAACTAGGATGCCACCAAATGGTTGCTATCAGGGATACACCCACCTTTGTCGCACAGGTGATTATCATATGTTTCATCTAGGCGAAACATGGATGCACCGCACAGTGGACCCTAATAACAACCATTTGAGGACAACGTAGCATAACCCCCTTATCCCAAAAAAAAAGAGAAAGAGAAAAATAATATGGATCATATATATAGGCAAAAAGTGATGCTCAAAATACAAACTAACTCCGAGCGGCTTTCAGAAAATTGTCATATGGGCTTGAAGCTGGCAGTACAAAGAAGTTGGAATGGCACTAATGATATTCGGTTGCACATGACATAGGAACACTAGATATACTATCAACAAATGGATTCCCACTTAATTGGCTGCCATACCTGGAATAATAATAATAATAATAATTAATAATAATAATAATATAAAAATCATTTTGGTTGTCAAATTATTTCAATAACCAATAAAGAAATAACCCGTGGACCTATTCTTATTTACGTCAAATGTGTTACACTACGTTTGGTACAAAGAATTTGAAAGAGAAAGAAAAGAAAATGAGATGGAAAACAAATTTTCTTGTTTGGTTAGAAAAGAAATTAAAAGTAGAAGAAAGGAAAATGGCAATCCAAAATCTACCGAGGACGAAAAACCAAACTCCTCTCGATCATTTTAGTGAGGAAAACGAGAGAAACTCGTATCTTTTCTTTTCTTTTCAAATTCCATGAACCAAACATAGTGTTTGTATCTTGATGGAAGAAAAATGCTCTGTGAAGTGAAATGCTTCTTAGTGAAAAAGCAAGCTGGAATGAAGCTTATAATAAGAGACTCTCATGGCTGGACTTGTTTATGTATTAGTCAATGAGAACAGAGAAATTAACTTTGTTTTTCTGCATGGCACTGGTGTTGTTTATTGGGGCAAGTTGGGCATGTTTGGGGGGGGGGAATGGAAGAGATGATTTATTAGCTATTGAAAGGATTTAATTAACAATCATGCACCATTATGAAACATTAATGTAATTGTTATGAAACATTAGTAGTAGTATCCTATAACTTGACTTTTTAGAAAAAGAGGAATTTACTTAAATAGCACTAAAACATAATGACTTTTCCTAAATAGCATCACATGTGTTTTTCTTCTCAATATAGCACTTTTAGTCATTATGCATTAGTCATTATTCAAGCAAATATTCGTAATCACTGGTCATTATGGACATTATTAAGTGCTATTAAGAAAATAAGATAATTTAAGTGTTATTTAGGAAAATGAGTTTAGTTTTAATGGTATTTAGGGTAAATATTTCTTAGAAAAATGCAAACATATCAAAGGTGCCTTAAAATGACTCTTCTACAGGCTAGTTGTGCCCTTATTTAAGCTCATGGGATGAAGATGATGCCAATCCCGGGCGACTTCATAATAGGTGTTTTTATTTATTTATTTTTGCTGGCTGTAAAACTAGTATGAATTCTTACATTGGTTGAGTGTTTTATTTAGATATTGTAATGTTTATTTATAAGAATCACTTGCTTTTATGGTTTCTAAAAATGTGTTCTGAAACGATGGTGTTGCATGCAAATGATGCAATGCTTTATGTGTTTATCTTGTTTATATGTTTATCATTACCAATACATTCTCGATCTGTTTAAGAGTGAAGATAGTAATGCTATTTTAAATATTAAAAAAGATACTAAGAAGACGTATGGAAACAAATAAAAAAGGCTAATGAAAAGATCCATGAATAACAGAAAAAAGGATAAAGTGTTTGTAAGATTCCTATATTTTATCGAAAATATTTCTCAAATCCCTGAATTATTTTAAGTGCTTACAAGATTCTTATATTTTTTGAAGGTGTTTCACAGATCCTTGATTTGACGTTATGTCATTACATCATAAATTTTTGAACAACTTGTGCGTGTTGCTCAAACAATTTTCGCGCACTGAATCTGAAAAAATGCCATCGAAGGGACTACTAACGCACTAATTGGAAAGTATAAGAACCTTGTAGGAACTAAAAATAATTTAGGAATCTATGGAGCACTTTCTAAAATATATAAAGATCTAATAAGCACTTAAAATAATTCAAAGACTTGGGAAACACTTTCAGAAAAAAATATAAGGATCATTCAAGTACTTTACCCTATAAAAGTTGAACTAATTTTAACAAACAAAAATAAGAAATGAACTATATATCATATCAAAAGAGTAGCAACCATATCTGCACAAAAAAAATGAATTAGAAATTTAGTGAAACAAATTTGAGAATGGATTAGAAAATTTTGGATAAGAGGATGGCTCATCATTGAGTTTGTGCTCTTTGAATAAGTAGTTGCCATTACAGAGGGGAAAAAAAGATCTAAATGCCATTACAGTTTGAAGCCTCAACTCTTCCTAGGCTTCTTGGATGTCCTTTCCTGAGAATGTTGGCCTGCTGACCCAGAAGTGGTTACTGTGCTAGTGGCTCTTCTAGAATCCTCCGGCGGCAGCAGCAAAGATGGGCCCACAGTCTTGTTCTTCGCACTCTCACCGCCACTTTTTTCCTTTGGAGAGGACTTTTTGTGTCGACTACTGGGAGCAGGGGATGCGGTGAAGACACTTGGGGATGGTGAAGAAGTTCTTTGCCTGCTACTTTTAGTAGCACTCGAACGATGGAAAGTCGAACCTGTCTTTGTTGATGTGTAGCTTGAAGACCTCTGTGAGATCTCCTTCAACCTAATTTGGTTGGCTTTCTCATATTCACTTGGATCTGGATAGTGTATGAAGGAAACATGGCGCGAAAACGTCCCAACTGCCAAACACACATACCCCGCACAAAGTTAAGAGCATGGCATACTAAACACAAATGTACTCGGAACATTTTTTTGATTCAGTCAAAGTACTTTCAAAGAATGCGTTTACTGAAAAGTGAACAGGCTAATTTGTATTGTTTTCTCAAAACCCAGAGTGTTTCATTGGATAAAAACACAACACTTTAATCATTTGATGAACTTACAGATAAAACACAGCACATTCACAACTATTTATAGCCATTTTAAAGATGCATCCAAACATGCCCTTGACATGTTCAGTAAAAGTATAAAGATGCTTTTTGTAGTTTTTGCTGTTAGGACAGGTGTTGAGAATTTCAGATGTTGAGTTGAGTGTTTGTTTGAAGGGTTGATGTTGTGATTTAAAATTAGTGATAAGGGCAATTTTTGGGTTGATGGTAAAGGCATTTGATTAAAAAATAGAGAAATTGTTTAGGAAGAGGAGGGTATTTTATAATAAAAAATGGGGATACTTTTGGAGCAAATGCAAAATATGTAGGGAACTGCTACAGTAAATGCCAACATGTCCAATTTGGAGCTGGTAGCTAGGTTTCTGAAATTCCAACTGCAAACCATGTCAGCAGACTGAACAGGCCTAACTTTAGAACTTATTACCTATTAAAGCATTACGCATGCAAGCATAATCATATACGCGTTATGCCTTAAAAAAACAGACTACAAGAATGCATGATACATGAAAGAACAAAATAAACACGCACCAATGTTAGCGTCTGAAGAAGATGATGATGATGATGAAAATACTGTTAGCTCTGGATCCTGTGCTTTTCTACTGTAAACATCATAAGGCTTTCCTGTCAACAAGAACAACATTTTCCAAATATGTCAATCATAGTGCCTATTTGTTGGTCAAATTTTGTAAGAAAGAAGGGTTATCAAACATAAACACAAAAGCCTTAAATTCGGTAGAAATACTTGCCAGAAGAACTCTCAAAGCTGCCTAAAATTCCATCATGATGAAGCTCAAGAGAGACTTCTAGACCATCAAAATCTGGAGCCTGTTGCATGCCAAAGGTAATGTTACTAGTTTGAAAAGCCATTTTACCTGATGGAATGATTTTCCCCAGGCCCAATAATATTGGCGAGTGGTTTAAGAAGCAGGTCCATGGAGCAAAACACATCAATAAACCCTAACTTTAAGGTTTCTTGTTTATCTATAGAAGGGGGGCTAGAATACTTAATAAGGAGAGCCTCAACCAACATGCATACATATCATACACACTCTCTCTACAATTACCAACCTCCATCTCCTTAATATCACTTCAAGCTCCAGCAATGGTTGATGAAATGCTGAGCCTATATTATACATGTACAGCCCCAATATATACAAAATACACATCCCTTGGCAGGATACCTCCAAAAGAAGGCCCGTGGTTCTTACCGATTTAGCTTCCACATTAACATTATTGTGCCTATATTATTTATTATACTAGAACTGATTATATATTACTCCCTCCATCCATAAATTTGCTTCCCAGTTTGACTGGGTACGCAGATTTATGCCTTGAAAAATTATATTGACTTTCCCACCATCCCCATTTCATCTTCGACTCACACAACCCTCAAACAACGAAGGTCACGACAGTTTGTATCCCCCACCCCATGTAGTTACGCACAGAGACTACAACCCACCACCCTCTCTGTAGTTACTAACAACACACTTCATTTAAACGAAAAATGTGCACAAGGATCGACAACATATTCAACAACCCGACCCGGTGCTCCGTATCTGCTAAATCAAATTGACCTGGGAGCTTGAGATTTAGGGATCCAGCTCGACGATCTTGGAAGATTTCCATTTTTCAATCTTAACAATGACATACATCATCCCACCCTTTCCTACTCACTAGATCGGACTATCTTACAACTCAACTCACGATTTTAACAACCTTGAGGAGAACACACTGAGATACCTCTCAATAAAGATAAATAAGATAATTTTTTTCTCATAATAAGATCTAAGGATCATATTATGTGAAATGAAACGAGAGGTGAAAGGATCCATACATGATTTAGGGGCCATTGCAAGAGCCAGAGTTCAGTTGAATCTGTTAACTTAAGTTCAATGAGTGTGTCTCTTTTATCCTCTTCAAAATCAGGGGGAGGTTTGTAGCTCAATCCACCAGCATCATCCATTGGCTTGATAACTTTACCTGCAAATGAAGTTTAATCGATATAATGAAGCCTTGTAGAAAAATTGGGAAAAGGTTAATAAAGTTATAAGTAGACATACATTGATTTTAAGGTTTAGTGTAAAACATAAATCTATATTAATTAGGCCCTTTCCATCATCTCCGATGGAGCCAAAATTTCATCATTTTTTGGCTTTGGGGTGTGATGGAATAAATCAAAATGGATCTCTAAACTGTCAGCGCTTCTTTAATTAATGAAGTAGCAGTTAGTCAAGCAATGCAACTTTCGACGTTGAGCCGGGGGTCTCTTTGGAAACAGCCTCTCTACTTTTGAGTAGGGGTAAGGTCAGCGTACACACACCCTCCCCAGACCCTACTCTTGTGGGATTTAACTGGGTTGTTGTTCTTGTTGTTGTATATTAATTAGGCCATGAAAAAAACAATATTGTACTTGAAATTTCATAACTCAACAAAAGTGTTGACTGCCTATCATATATACACTCCCTCCCATAATAAGCTTTATAGATTGATTTCACATAGTTTAAGTGTTAGAAAGTGAAAATGTGTGGCACTTGATTTGTTTTGAAGAAATAAATTGTGGGAGCCACGCATTCTAACATACATTTCCTCGAAAAGTAAATAATCAAAGTGTGAAGTTTATTTGGGACGAGAAAGTATAAACATACAACATGCATACTGAAAAAAATGATAGAAGTAGATTAGCAAAAACACGAGCAGGGTTGGTTCGAAGCCCATAGAGGCCCTGTGCAAAATAGAATTTTGGCCCTATTGTACCTCATAGTTGAAATATTTAAAAAAAAATTATATTAAGTATAATATTTGCTAGATTGAAAATGTGAAGTAAAAAAATTTTTAAATCACATTTACATGTTCTTGTTTTTGTATGGTCTCATGTGATTTTTTAAATGTAAACTTATCAGGTGCTTATGTAAGGTCTTCAATTTTCCTTCTCATTTTACATTTTTTATAGCTCGTACACATTTACATGTTCTTGTTTTTGTATGGTCTCATGTGATTTTTTAAATGTAAACTTATCAGGTGCTTATGTAAGGTCTTCAATTTTCCTTCTCATTTTACATTTTTTATAGCTCGTATGCTCGTTATTCATTTCCATGGAATCAATACTACAAGAATATTTTTATAAAAAATATGAGAAACAAGAATTAGATAATTTAAAAAATGAGAAAGTTAATGACTCCATGATAGATAAGGGGGGTTAAGGGCCCATTAAAATTTGTTTTATTTAATCTCAATATTATTAAGTGTTTTTTAAATTAAAATGAAAAAAACTGTTCCATATTGTTCCTTTAATGAAAAAAATACTATTGTCATTGATTTAGAAACACAAAATTTATCTGGGTTTAACTCAAATTAAAAAAGCAGCTCAAAAAAACAAATTAGAAATTTTTAATTAGCAGCTCAAAAAAACTAGCAGCTTACAGAAAAATCATGAACTAAAATTAGCAGCAAAATTTATCTATGCTCCCAGCTCTAAAGCTGAACAAGAAATCAAACTCATTAATCCAGGAATCAATTAATCAAATCTCAACATAGCTTCTTCTAAATCACACAAGTGGGAAGTTAGAAACATAATCTGTAAACTCAAGCTTCAAGGAACAACATGACAACCGAATTCACATCATTCAGCAATTCAATAACTTCTCTATTTAAATAAAAAACGACTTAATCGATCGAGTATAGAAAGATACAGACCTGAAACTCCGCAAGAAAATTGGAACGAAGAGGCGATGGATTTTCCGTGCTCGCCGCCGCTGGTCCTCTGACTAGATGAAGAACGATGCGGATTGCCGGATTTGGTGCAGCGCTGAAAAGAAAATTGCAGCTAGTCCAGATGAGGCGCAGCCCAGAAAACATTTGGGCCCAGTCTGATTTAATAACAATACAATACTACTCGTATTTGTTTAAAATTATTAGCCCCCTTAAAAATTAAGCCCAATCCGATAGGACTGCTTGGCCTTTCTCGAGCTGTCCCCGGTCAGAGCAATATATGACTAGTGATAGTGTCTTGCGTTAAGAATTAAAGATACATATCAAATTTTTAAAATTGATATCAACTAAAATTTAAAAAAATCAAAACATTCACAAAACGCTCAATAGTTAGCGGGACGTTTGTAATATTGGAAGATGCACAAAATATTCATTTAGGAATCACCAAACACTTATTATTATTATTATTATTATTATTATTATTATTATTATTATTATTATTATTATTATTATTATTATTATTATTATTATTATTATGATACCATTACTCATATTGTCTTACATCTCGCCTTAAAGTTTCCAACTTGACAATATTCTACCACATTAGTGAAATTAGTGCAACACTTGGAGCATATTAGTCCTTCAATAGAGAGATTATCTTTAATAAAATATGATATAATTTTCTTTATTTTTAGCTTTAAATGATATAGTGCTTTAATATATAATTTGTATCCAAGAAAAAAATGTGATCTATTGAGGACACTTCACATTATTAAGATGACTTACAGATTTGATTTATGAGATTCATACATAAATAATGCGATGATGACAGGAAAAATTTAATCACTCTTCTTTAAAGTTTCTAACTTGATGATACTCTGCAATGTTAGTTAAATAAAATGATTAATACAATCTTTATATTAACAATGATATTTTAAGCCAAGTTTTTCTGTTAATTCTTTTTTTTTTCAATGAAATTTATAATGTTAAAAGATTTTTTTTTAGCTCGCACCCAATTTCGGCCTCATAAACACTCGCACGGATACATAAAAGTAATGGCAAAAACTGAAATTTTGTTTCATCAACACAAACAAAATCAAGAGGATAAAAGAATGAACAAAATCAATACCACATCATACAAATTACAGTACATTATTTATTGTCAACTAATAATTGAAATTGAAATGCTGTGTTTTATATGGTGTTGTTCATGTTGAAGAAAGCGCGCAAGGCTTTAAGAACCAGAACACATCTAATCCCGGCGGCAATGATCTTGCTTCTTCATTTTCATTCGCCGTAATACCTCCGCCGCCGCCATGGTTAGCTCTGTTTCCAGATTTGTCCCCTTTATCCTCCCTGTTTCCGCCGCCCTTCTTCCCCAGCTCTCGGAGAACTCCTCTGTCCCGATAAGGATGGGGAGGGGTCCTGGAGCTGAAAGCCCCGGACGACGGGGTGGCTCTGGTGGGTCCCCCGCGGCGGCTCTCCGAGAAACACTGCGGAGTCGGAGGGTTGGTCCTGATCTGTGACAGGATCTCCTCCCCTGTCCGCTTACTACTGTTCTTCGTCACATCTATTCTCATTGGTGTGTTTTCTGCATTTTCACTTCTTCTGTGCATTTATTATGTATGTATGCATTAGTTGTCGAAGATCACATTACAGTAGAAAGTAAAATTGCAGGGAATGAAATGAAGAGAACTTACATTTGATTCTTTCTGGGCTTCTCTTTGGGGATGTTCTTCTTCCCCATTAAAGTACTTTCATCCTTCTTCTTCATACTCAGATCTTGAAGTGGCGTCTTCTCCTCCATTAATGGAGTCTTTTCCACATTCTTGTCCCCGGCTCTCTCTCTCTCCGAACCCCTTACAGCGAACTTCTTCAGCTCGTTACAGAACTGGGTTACCCGGTTCAGAAAATCCCCGCCGGAGAACAGATTTCTTGCTGACTGGGTGCTTCTCAGCTTCTGAGTCGTGGGTTCTTTCTCAATGACGCCCATCTTCTTCTTCTCTGAGCTTGACTTGAATGCCTCTTTCATCAGCTTAGCTTTGTTTCTTGGCGGAGTCTTCAAATTGGGGTTTTGGTTCTCACTGTCCTCTTCAAAGATCCCATCTTTCATCAAACCAGTCCCCTGGAAAGCTTTCCCCCTGTTTTTTTAAAAAACGATTTTAGCATATTTTCACACTTGAAATTCTAATGGAATAAAAAAATTGAATTTTTTAAACCTTCGAATTCGCTCCCGAATCAGATGATTCTCAGAAACAGTGGCTGACCTCTGGAGCTTCTTCATTGTTAGGGTTTCGAGAGAAAAAAAAACAGAACAGAAAAAAAAATTAGTCTTGCAAAAGATCTGATTTTGATCTTTAAACAAAAAAAAATCAGATCTTCAAATTAAATTAAATTCAAGAAAATAGAAACCTTTGACGGCGGGGTTGCACCGGCTCTATAGAAATCATCCACAGTCTTGGGATGATTGCAATCTGATGATGAAAAAAGAAACAAGGGTCAGTTCAGTCAGGCGTTCTTATTTCAGTAGACAAGAAAAGATGACCCGGGAAAAGCGGGGCGGGTTACCGGGCCGGCAGAACCAAGCTTCGTCGTCAATGGAGTCATCTGGGGCGGAGAAATCCACCCACTGCGGGGCGTTGAACTGCTCGAGGGTGTCGTCCTTTACGAATCTTGAATCCAAACTCTTCCAATCGATTACGGCTATTTCCATTCCAAGAAAAGAAGAGAAGGGTGGATTAGATTGAAGAATGTTGATGGTCCGCCGGAGAGATTGCAGCGGGCGATCGGGAATTTAGCCGGAGAATGATGTTATGATCTGGGAGTTTTGGGGAGGGAGACGATAGCTGGCGGAAAAGGGAAGTAGATGACCGTTGGTTTATCATTGTACTGCTTTTCTTTTGACCGTTGGGGGTGGAGCTGGACTTTGATGGAAAATCACATGATATTTCTCGTTTATTTTTCACTTTTTTTTCTTCTTTTTTGGCTTTAGACTATTTTAGGTGTAACGTTAAGAATGCAGACTATTTTAGACTTAAATTTAGATGTAACATCATTTGTTCTTTTTTAATGTGCAAAAAACCTATTGATTTTAAATTAAACAAAACTTTATCAATGAAAATTAATCTCTTGATATATTATAAAATGTGAGGTTTATAAACAATTACATATGTTTGGAACAACTTTAATAAGTAGCTTTGGTATTTTGAAAAGATTTTCTAGCAACAACATTTTAGTTGTAAAGTTTTTAAAGATAATTTACATCATTAAAATATTATCCAAAATACTAACATCACATAGAACTTGATATTTTAATATAAAATCTCTGTCTATCTTTTTATCCTGATTTGACCAGACACGCAAATTTATGTAAGGGTAAATAAGACATTTAACTTAAATTAGTTATCAAATACTCCCTCCGTCCGGAAATGTTCTTCCCATTTCACTTTTTACTGTCTCTAAGGTTGTACTTTGACTACTAATATCTTTATTTATACATGGATATATTTTATAAAAATTTAATATTTGAAAACTATATTTCAAAATTAATATATTCATATTAAAATTATATCGTAATGCAACGTATTTTTTCCACATATCATAGTCAAAGTTTACAAACTTTGACCAAAAAAAGTCAAATGAGAGGAATATTTCCAGACTGAGGGAGTAAGAAAATGAGAACATAATTTGTGGACATACAAAAAGGAAAAGTGGAAAGATAATTTATAAATGGGAATATATTATTAATCTTTATAGTAACATTATATACACTTTAATATTAACAAAAAATTTATAATTGAAAGTATTATTTAGTGGTAATAATCAACCATTGACATAATCTTGGAATTGGCAGTTATAGAAAATCTCAAATATAGCCCCCATTATTAGAAAATCTCAAATTGAGTGGCTCTAAATTTCACCATAAATACAAATTACAAAGTAAAACATGTCGTAGTCCAAATTAGAGTGCGATGTTGAGTGGCAGCCTAATACATACTACTCATATAGTCATATAATGATATAAATATCTAATCATAGTAAGTAACTAGTACTTGTATACTCAAGCTCGTGAGTGATATGATTGAGCCCACACTAGTCAAGCTCGAGTACAAGGCTAAGCTTGGGGTGTGATGACGTTCATAGTCCATACCTTTTTTATTCTTACTTACTTATGGGCATGACGACCAAACCCCACCACCAACACTCAAACTCGTATACTTTAGCCGACACTAAGCTTGGAGTATATAATTTTTTTTGTCTGTCTAAAATATATTTTACTCCATATTTTTTTATTTTTTGAAATAATTTTGTGTTTCTTATAATTTCTCTATTTTCTAAATTACTTGCAAGTTGCAACTAAATAATTGTACTTTTTAAAATCTTCTTCAAGTTAAAGATGTACTCCCTTTTTTTTATGGGAGGGAGGAGTATGGATTCACTCACACCAAACACGCCCTTATTTGGTCCCGTTTCCCGGGAAGGCTCAAACTCACTAGAACCTTCTTCCGACTAACAGCCGCCGCCGCTCTGCTTCTAGCTGAATCACTCTTTCCTGGTACCAGTTGAAGCTCGCTCTCTCCATCTCCATACCTTTTCGAACAAGACAAGACTCCCGTAATGGTTCGCTCCAACGCCACACGCCTCGCCTGCCGCCTCGCTCGCGCTTCCATCACTTCTCACCTTCTCCGCGACACTTCTCTTGTACGCCTTCGTCTCTCTGTTTATTTCATGCATGTAGCAGCAATTGCGGACTAATACGGCCAATCGGGATGTGTTGATTTATAGGTCTGTGATCCGGGTCGCATTTGGGGATGCAGACAATTCACTGCGTCGATATGCGATCAGCGGAGATTCTTCTCCAATTCGAATTTTTGGAATGGTGCGTGAAAGTGCCCTGTAAAAAAATTACTCCGTATGTTTTTTAGAAGTATAGTTTTGGATGCACACTGTATAAGTTTGTTCTACTCCTGACAGGAGCTAATGAAAGGGGCAGGCTGAGAACTGGATTGCCAAAAGCTAATTTTGCTGCTACTAGAAGCATCCATGGCACAGGTTTCTTCATAAGCAGCTTGAATACTTGTTTGTTTGATTGCATAACTTTTTGAATGCAGAATATGAAAAAATGGCATTTGATGTGGGCTTAAGAAACAGACATGTAACGTGTTACTCTTATATTTTGGATCTTAATATGCAGTTCACAACGATGAATTGAGGATATGGTTTTCTTCATTGGCAGGAATTGTTGTACATTAGTTGTAGAAAAAATGAACTCTTGATACCTGTTGGTATGGTTTCATAGGTAGACTTTGGTAAAAATAGACTTTCTTGCTCCACATTACTAAATGAAAGGACAGCTCATGAGGAAAAGCTAGTGTTGTTATTTTCAATAGAGGGGATAAAGATAGGTTCTTGTACATCTTTCTGACTGAATTCCCATGGATTTTCATTTGGATAGAGTATTACGGAGTATTATTGTTTTCCCCTTTTAAGATTTGTTTATTTGTCCAGCATGGATTTGATGAGCCCTAAAATATATTCTTTCCCTTCAAGCTTAGTTTCATTTACCTTTTTTCTTTTTTTTAACTTTTATTTCAAATTAGCAAGCATGTCAGCCCGAGATTATTATGAGGTACTTGGCATCAGTAAGAATGCAACTGGATCTGAAATCAAGAAAGCTTATCTAGGGGTATGTCTCTAGTCATATCATCCTATATTAAATGTGGAGTAGGATACTAGGATCCGAGCAGGAGTTTTACTAAAGGTTATCAAAGCCATCAACTTACAAGTTTCCTATTGATGGATTATGCAAATAGCTTGCAAAACAGTTACATCCAGATGTGAATAAAAATGATCCAGGTGCTGCAACAAAGTTTCAAGAAGTTCAAAAGGCTTATGAGGTACTTCCTCTATAGACTAATCTCATGCAACTCAAATTTTTTTCTGTGAGGTCAATGGATTGTAAATATGTTTTTCTCTCTAATGACAGGTTCTGAAAGATGATGAACAGCGCCAGACATATGACAAGGTCTGCACATATTATGCTTTGTTTCTATATGCCCCACTCTGTTTGTTGAGAATATATTTAGAGATAGTAGTCACCCTAACACTACTATTTGAAAGGAAATGTTCGTAAATACTACATTCACTTCCCAAAAAGAATCCTGTGTATATGGTCTCTAAAAACAAAATCAGTATCACAAACATTACACTTTTTTTTTGGGATAAAGCAGTGCTACATTCTTATTTTAGTTTTTTGGAACTAATAAATTCATGTTAAAAATCATAGTTGCCTGATGTATATCATACTTTGATGCATTCAAAGTACCTAGTTCATCCCCATTTAGGGGATAATTGCCGCACATATTATTGCCCTTTTGTTCTACTATATAACTACTTTTGAATTTTATTTTCTTTCAGTTCATCATAAGTTGGAGCTACAGCACATTCATATTTCATACAACGGTCATTTGAATTTTCCAATCGGAGTATTTGAGAAATGTCATGCTCCCTTCTTTTCTTACAGAAGGGGTACAGTCCGGAAAATGATTGCTTACATATTCGAATAATTAATGCCCCCCTCTCTCTCTCTCGTTGGAGAACACAATGAATATATTTTCTTGTTTTCTGCTTATTTATGATGCATAGCTATCCATTTCTGAAATGATTGTGAGATTATGTATACGTCACACATGTCTCCCTGCATTCTAGAACTTCAAATTTTCCCTTTGTAATTTGCTTACTGACTTTACTCATAGAAGTATGTAAATTACATATTGACATGTGTATGTTACAGCTTGGACATGATGCTTACAATAGCATGAATGAGAATGGTGGTGCTGGAGCACGGACTGGTTTTAGTGGCTTCCCTGGCTTTGAGGATCTCTTCAGAAATTCCGATGTAATGATTTGTTTTCCGTTTTTCTTTTGACTTGCACAGCTTGATGTACATCAGTTATTTGCAAAACATAATTCTTGGTTTAAATAATGGTAATCTATCATGGTATGCAGTATGCACTATGCAAAGGGCAAGTGAAAATATAGACAAGACAACATATCTTATATGATTAAGGCATGTGCTTTAGGATTTTTTTTAAAAATCTTGTGATGTTATTGAATAGTGTTTAATTTTCAAGGTAACCTTGAAATGAATGCTAGGATATTTTATGGAGTTCATTTATGGTCTCAGGCTGTGAGAATTCTATTTGTCAATGTGTTGCATTCTTTCATTGGTGATGTGTACAAAACATTACACTAATACCTATCAAAACCAATAGGGAGTACATGCATCTATTGCACTTCAGGGTTTGACCCATATTAGATGAACTTGCCAGTTGAAGAGCACCCAATCAAGTCTTACTGCTTTCTTTTTGTGTAATCATCCACATTGAAACTAACTTTACATTTATTATCCATGTGTTGGAAATTGAATCATGCATTTCAGATTTTCAACTTCATGAACCAGAGGATGCGTGGTGAAGATGTCAAGGTATCATTTTTTTCTCTAACAACAAAGACTGACAATTCTTGAATTACACAATTCACAACAACTAATTTTTGTTGCCTTTAGTTATTGCTGATATATCTGTCCACGATCATTTTTGTAGATTTCTGTTGAGTTATCCTTTATGGAAGCTGTTCAGGGTTGCACCAAGTCTCTATCATACCAAACTGAAATAGCTTGTGGTGCTTGTGGTATGCAATTATTTCTTCATTTAACCAGTATATGATTTTTTTTCTGTTAAATGTAACTCAGAGTTCATTTGCCCTTATTATCCAATATGCTTGTCTTAAGTCAATATAAATTACATATTTCATTTTTTGTACTTATCTCTAATAATCCCAGGGGTAGTTTCCATTGTCTACATACAGGATTGTATTTGTCATTATCAATTACCACAAAGGTGAAACATTTGTCTCGGTGAAACTTTACCAAGTGACAGTAGCCTGATTAAGTGCAGAAGAAATATATGTAGTATACAATATTAGCTCATGTTTACAGGCCTCATTTATCTTTGACAGATAAAGATAATAATATTTTTAGTGGGGCCGTTTGTATGGAAAGGCCAGCACTCGATATGCTCACATTTCTGATTTTCATTTATAGGTGGAAGTGGCATCCCACCGGGGACTAGGCCTGAAACTTGTAAATTCTGCAGAGGTTCTGGCATGGTAAGTCTCTTATACATCATATACTCTGTAATTATTGTAAAAGTGGTATTTGACTCTAAGAGACTAAGAGTAACATTATCATCTTGTTCTATTTCTAGGTGATTCAGAAAAATGGTTTCTTCACACTACAGAGTACCTGCCCTCAATGTAAAGGAGAAGGAAAGATTGTATCGGTATGATATTCACAGAATTTTCATATAACTATTTAAGAGGATTTACCAAAAAACTCAAGAGGATCCACGTTTTTTTGTTGTTAAATCTAATCTTTGAAATTTTTACTCCGTCCTGATTCTATTGGCGTGTTAAATCAAAGATAACTTTGATGCAAAATAGAGCACAATTTGTAAAAGCTAAATAGTCTTTCACTTGAAATTGCTGAAATGCTCAAAATTTCTTGTTTTCTTGATGAACGGGATGATTCTAAATCTCCCTGGTTAGTGATTGAAGTACTGGTGTGTACTACCCTTTTCAATGGCTGTTTGCATGTTGTATGTTTAAACGTCATGCTTTTTGCGACATTGACTCATATTGACCTTTTCCTCTGGTGAGCAGAGTTTCTGCAAGACTTGCAAGGGAGAACGAGTAGTGAGAGGGCAGAAGACTGTGAAGTTGGATGTTATGCCAGGTAACTTGTGATTGAACTTACAATGAGATCTTTTTACTGTTCTCTTTACTTTCAACATCCAAGCAGTTCAAAGCTATAGGCTTTATTAATCAAATTGCTGTTTAAATAGCATGCATTGACCAATTCCTACTTTTTATAGTCAACAGATTCCTTCAACAACAACACACTATAATCCTATATCTGTTGGGGTCTTGGGGTCAAGGTGTATGCACTCTTACCCCTGTAAAAACCAAAGAGGATCTTTCTGATACTCTTGATGTATATATTGTCCAAAGCTTTGTAGAAAGTAAGGAGCAAGGGAAGTTTAACGTGTCATTTTGTTTTAGTTCATTTTTCCAAGCTAAAACTTTGTCAAAATGACTCTTTTATTGGGAGATGACACATTTGTCATGTCACTTAAATATTCATTGGTTATTCCAAAAAGCTTTCTTGGAAACATTTTGTGAATTAGGTTTTTATTTACTCGAGCTGATCTGGATCTCTTTTTACCATAAACCCAAGGTAGTTCCTTGACATGGCCAAATAACTAGTATGGAACTGTAAGGCTAAAGGTTCCCCAAACACCAATGAGTTATTGCACATTAGCACTTTCATAGTTAAAGCAATTGACAGAATGTGAAAGCAGGGAATGATGCTGGCTTCATCTCTTAATGTTCATTATACTGGCTATCTTACACTTATGTTTATAAAATACTTTGTATTTGACTTCATTATTACTCTTCCACAGGAGTTGACAATGACCAAGTAATGAGAGTATATAGAAGCGGTGGAGATGATCCTGAAGGCAATGCACCTGGTGATCTTTACGTCACTATCAAGGTTTAGCTTCTATTATTCTATCATCAAAGTTGCTACTTATAACACCACTCCCATCTGTTCATTCTCATTTTCTGGCACATCAATTTATATCTGAAATACAAGTTTATCCCTGATGCATTTCAGGTTAGGAAAGATCCTGTGTTCCGGAGAGAAAAATCTGATATCCATGTCAATGCTGTTCTGAATTTGACCCAGGTATTGTTTTTTTTTTGTTTTGTTTTGGTCTTTATTCGCACACAGGATTATATACTTCATTTATCTTAGCATTTGATGTTTTGCTTCAATAAATTGCCTTGATATGCCTGTATTTTGGAACCTAGATTGCTTTAGCCAACCAGTATTTTCTTGCAGGCTATTTTGGGAGGAACAGTCCAAGTGCCAACTTTGACTGGGGATGTTGTTGTCAAGGTAAGTCCATAACTCTAACAAGAAATTATACTTTGAATATTTGTATGAAACTTGAACAAAGCTTTCATGTTTGTATTATAGTTAGGATGTCCGTTAAACACTAGGGGCCCATTTGGTTTAAATGATTGGATATGAAAAAAAATCGGTTCTTAGCAGCAAATTGGTGAAGTTGTGGATTTTGGGTTGTTTCATAAATGAGCCCCTGTATTGCAGGTACGCCCTGGCACCCAACCTGGCCAAAAAGTCGTCCTGAAACAGAAAGGTATGTTTGGTGTTTATTGCACTCTAGTACAGTCCCAACACTGGATTTCACTAAGTATTCACTTGTTTTGTATAGGTGCACTATTATCTTAACTTATGATTGTGTTTTTAGAGCTAATATTGCCAATTGGGGGTTGTTTGAGCAGGGATTAGAGCAAGAAATTCCTACTCAGTAGGAGATCAGTATGTTCACTTCATCGTCAACATTCCAACGTAAATGTTCTTTACTGTTACCGACTTTCTTTTTATTTTGGGAGTTGTTCTTCCCCGGTCCTAAGGTCCACACATGAAATGTGGACCTTCTCATACTCTCTATAAACCGGCAAGTAGATCTTTTCTTTCTTTGCAAAAGGCCCAATTCTTTTACGATATCAATGCACCAAGGGCTATAAGATGAGCATGGACCTTAGGGCCACAGAAGAATGTCTTATTTTTTTATTCATCACACTGCAATTTCAAGTAGAGAGTTTTCGCGCATGGGGAGTATTTGCAATATACTCTATGGTGCAGGAACTTGACACATAGGCAGCGTCAATTGATTGAGGAATTTTCCCGGGAAGAGCGAAGAGAGCATGAGACAGACGCGGCTGCAGGAGCCTCCAGGTAGAGAGCAGAGAGAGCCACAGCTACAGTGGGCATCTGAACATTTTTGGGTNATTTGTGACTGTAAGAGTTAAAGAGTGACCTTGGCAAGCATGATAGCTTTATTTGAGTTAACTTAAGATTTAGTTTTGGTATTTTGGGTTTGGGGGGTGGGGGGGGGGGGCACAGCTTGTTGTATATATTTTTAAAAAATCAACAATTATTAATTGGAAATTATAGTTTTATTTTAACTTTGTATGCTTGCAAATAAGGACTTGGATTTCATGAAGTGATTGGGCATTGCATTCATATGGTTTAATATTACTTGAATCTTTGCAATTCTAGTTTCATTTTTTTAGTTTCATTTGTTCTATAATATACTCGTATGTGTTGCGTTCCAATTTTGGTCATATTTGTATGGCTTGAATTTCTAAATATTTCAGTGGGCGTGTTTTCATAAAAATGGATTTTTGTTTTTTTTGGGATAATATTTTGTTTATTTAAATAATATTAGAAGTGAATAGTTTTGCAAATCTAAGTACTCCGTATGATTTACTGCTTAATCATATTGTAGTGTTTGCAGATGAAAAAAATGCTTTACTGTTTTAGTAAGGCTATCTGCAGCGGGAAGGGGGAAGGGGAAAGGCCACATGGTGCGGGAAAAGACGGGGAACACACACCCCCCCCCCCCCATGCGAGAGTGGGGAAGACGGGATCTCTTCTCGTTTTTCGCGTTTGGCCTTTAATGGTTAGATTTTTTAAAATATAACCGTTGTGAAATTTAAATAATTAAATTAAAAAAATTTCACTATTTAAACATAACACTTCAATCATCTTTTTCACACACTTTCAATCTATTTCTTTAAATTATAATATTGTTTTTGTTGAATAATTTTTTCATATTTTTGAGTATCATGGATTCATTCCGACCACTGATGTCTTCCTTCGATCCTTCTATTTCTTCATTTGTGGCTTACGCTCGATGTCTGCGGTCCTTTCAAATGCATCAATCCCAAGAATGGAAACAAATTTAGTGGTAGCAATTTCAGAACTTGTGATGCCCGACCGTTCCAACCACCGGCACGTCACTGCATCTGTTCCCACACACGACGTTCCTTTGGATATTGAAGACGATATTGATGAGGTAGTGCCCGATACACAATCTCCAATAAAATAATCGAAAGGGAAATGAAAATGTGAATGTAAAGGGGGGGGGGACCAAGCATGACTCAGTGTTCTAAAAGTTTGGACCAACACTGAGGAAGAAGCGTTAGCAACTTTTGATTTTGCTTTGGGCTTGCTCGAGTTGCCTTCTACGTGGAGTTGAAAACTTGAGTTTGATGATTGAATCTGTTTTAAAACTTCGAAGTTTGATAGGCACAATTTGAGTGGTTGGAATAACTGCTGTTACAAGTAAAAGTGATACTGTAAAATTTTAATGGGTATAACTCACAAGTCAAATATCCTTTGGACTAAGGTCAACATGCACATTTGGTGAAATTTTACCGGGTTCTTGTAAAGCTAGTAAGCTGAAAGAAAACTGCTGGATTTACAAATAAATTATCACAAAATTCACAAATTTACTATTTATGAACTTCAATAAAAAAAATTAAATAATCTAAAATAATTTTAAAATAAAAATTTAAACTATAAATAGTAAATTTATGAAATTTGTGACAATTCTATTTGTGATCATAACATTGCTCAAACCGAAAACTAATCCATAGAGGTTTAAACATCATTCCAAGCAAACTCAAAGAGTAATTCCAACAAGGCCACGAAAGATTTCACTTTTCTTTTGGGAAGTCAGTCATTCTTGGTTGGTTCCAAACTCCAATACAAGCAGAAACTATAATCATAACAATGGAGTGTGCAAGAGATACATGAATATTGTTCCCCACTTTATACACCAACTCTACAAGTGTGTAAGAACAAAGCGAGATACAACCTTGGTCAATGCCAAGATTTTGTCACAACTTTATATGAGGATCCAATTCTTTATTTTTATTTTTTATTTGCTTGCGCAATTAGTAGAATCACAACCATACTCAAGAACCACTATTCAGCTTTGAACCGAAGCCACCCCTCAATAAACATCACAGTACTTGAAAGTTAGAAATGAGCACAAACAATTCTGGCTTACTTCAACCACTTTTATGAGAAATCAAACAAAAAAACAGATCATTAGGCCAGCACATAGTATCAAGTTCGCTAAAACCCATAAATGTAACAAAATTGTCTTCACAAGGTAAAACAGCATAGCAGGATAGGCTGTGTTTGAGATTGAAAATGCAGATGAAATATCTTAAACTAGTTGATAGAGGACAACAGCCAAAACTGGAATTCTTTACCATATATTGAAACAAAGATTCAATCATCCCCCTCAATGACAGTAGTGCCCAAGCCCTTGAGTCCCTCGGGAACCTCAGTAACAGTGACCAGCGAGTAAAGTTCTTCCTTGGCATCTTCATCGTCGTTCCTCTTCCTCGCGATGCGGACCCGAACCCTCCTCGGCACACTTCGGATCCCCTTGCTCCAAATGAACTTGTTGAGCTTCACATCGACGCGAACATCCGTTGTTCCCATAGCCTTTTGAGCAAACTTCCTAATCTCCTTTATGGCCTTGGGAGCCTTCTTCTTGAATGTGCTGCACCATTAACACACCACTAGTAAATGAGATGGGAACGGCCTCACAATTCAGGGAGTAGCTCAAAGATTAAGGGCTGCAAAGCCAAGCCAGAGTTTTTCTGTGCTATAACAGTTGAAAATGAATAAAGAAATGATTTTTACCTATAGGATCATCTCACTCAAAAACCCATAAAACTTTTGGTTAGATAAAAACATGCTGACTATGAGCTTCACTCAGCATGTATTTTAGATGTCAAAATTCCCACCATTGTTCTTCACATCATATATTAGAAATTTACCAAATTACTTCAAATTTCATAGGCCTCAGTGAGCAAAGACTATCAATCTCCATATTTTAAACAGCATCAAGTGAACACAGAGAATAATAGTATATTCATAGCATAAACCATATAAATCCGAGTGAAAACCAACAGCAATAAGGATCGACTGAATAAAAAAGGTACAGCTGAAGTAAAAATCGAGTTAAAACCCTAATTGTGAAGAAACAAAATCCCAAATGAAGCATAGAAAACAGATGATGATGATGAGGGAAATTCATAAGAACAATTGAGTCTAGAGATTACCATCCATGCAAGCGTTTGTGGAGATTGATGGTGTACTCTCTGGTCACGACCTCTTCCTTCCTGGGTTTCCCCGGTCTTTCCGGCATTGTTGCAGAGCACTGTCTCGATCGGCCGCCGGACCTACCTGGATCTCCGCCTTTGTCGACGCCGCAAGAGAAACAGAAAGAAAACCCTAATTGATAGATATAGAGGGGGGCTTATATTAGCCCTAGTTCCCGGAAATGCCCAAATCTCTCATTTTAACTGCCCAAATGCCCTTGCGTCTAATGGGCTATGCCGTGATTAAAGGCCCAAACAAGGATCGGATCGGGCTGAGACCCAATATTATCATCCTTTATTGGACTAGTTTTAACCATTCGAATTCGTTTTAACGTTAATGTGAGTGGTGCTCTAAAATGTATGGTGCCTAATTTTTATTTATAACTTCAAAGTCAATTAAATTTGAACGGTGTAATTGAATGCTCACGGGGTGTGTTTGGGTTGGCGAAAGTAAGCATCAATTTTGTGAATAAATTAGTGTAAGTGTTTTAATTGGATTCATGTTGGTCAAATGACATTAAAAGACAATAAATCTCATATTCTGGAAAACTTTAAAGGCAAATATTGAGGTTGTTTGGTGAACAACCTTTTGCTTCGTAGTTTGACTATCTGTGGACAACTACTCCATATGAAAGGGGTTTGCAAGAGGATGAAGATGACAGTAACATCAATTTGAACGGTATAATTGAATGCTCACGGGGTGTGTTTGGGTTGGGCAAAAGTATGGAGTTTGCAAGAGGATGAAGACAACACTAACATCAATTTTGCGAATAAAGTCCCGTAAGTGTTTTAAATGGATCTGTGTTCATCAAATGACATTGAAAGACACTAAAACTCGTACTCTGAAGAATTTTAAAAGTAAACATTAAAGTTGTTTGGTGAACAACCTTTTGCTTCGTAGTTTGACTATGTTTGGACAGCTAGTTCGTATTAAATAACGACATTGAGAAATTTACGCAAATGCATTGGCTCGGTGTATGCTATTAGATTAAAAAAATATGAATATATACTACATTATAATTGAGTCAATATAACTAAAAAAACTATGAGAACTGTATTAGACTTCGAATAGAATGGACAAGTGGGTTAAATGATACTCGCTCAAGTAGGTTGGCTCGGATCAATGATCCGGTCAACTACAATATTTTATACTCTCTCCGTCCTAAAACTTTCTTCCCAGAGCACTATTCCAACTTCACGGGAATTTATATTTTTTTGTGTTTTTTCATGGTCTATATGATAAAATAAAATATTCTTGTCACCACTTGTTTTGTTGAACTTTTGATGTAGTTTTTAAATATGTATGTTTTATTTTTATTTCTATACCAATATTTAAATAAAATAGATCGAAAAACTTAAGATTTTTCTTCGTTTTGCGCAATGGGAAGAAAGATATAGGACGGAGGGAGTACTATATTACAGAGTGTTACATACTTTTAATTTGTAAAAAAATGTTAGCTTGTGTTTTTTCAATTCTTCATATAGTTTGAAGGGGAAAAAAACACATGAATTCTTGTGTGAGCAATGTGCAGATGCTCGTTCACTTTTTCTATTTTTTATTTCTATTGTTATTTATTAAAGAGTATTAAAAGTTGTTATTAATTAAATAAAAATACTGAAATAGGAAGGCAACAGTCATACTTTCAAAAAATCAAAGATATGTAATGGTGAAAAAAACAAGAGCTTAGGGTAGACTTAGAAATAAGAATCCAAAACTTCTAGATAAAAAAAATTCAATTTTATTTAATGTTGTGACCCGAATGGATTCACTTGGGTCATACTCTCAAAAAATACTCCCTTTTTTCACATAAACTTTGCAATTATTTTCCCAACACAAAATCATACCCTCTCCGTCCCACAAAAAAGTTTCCATTTTGACCATAAATTGGTCAAACTGTTGCACACTTTGACTTTAAATTAAATATAATCTAAATAAAGAAATGCTAAACAAATTTGAGATATCAAAACTAGATCCTAAGATGAATCCAATTATATAAAATTTATTTCATAATTCAATATACCTTTCTCACAATTTGTAGTCAAAGCGTGTAACTATTTGACTAAATACTATTCAAAATGGGAACTTTTTTGTGGGACAGAGGGAGTATCTTCTTTCTTTTTTTTACTTTAATCTTTTTTCAGTAAAATAATATTATCAATATATGTTACGCGGAACATTTCTCGAGCCACTGGCTCTGGTTGCCACTACGGCGCCACGACTTTTTTTAGGTATTTATAATATTGCATCTATAAAATTGACAATTTCTACCCTTAACACCCTTATAAACCGTACATTCTCACCAAACCCAAACGATCTACCCACCACTTCAATTCATCTTCCAAATTTAGTTGACTTTTGAGTACTCAAACTAATCTGAGTAGGACTGGAGCAGGCCGGACCAAAGTCTTGGACCTAAGTAACGGACATTGGGCTGCAATAAGGTCTAGATATTAGATATGGCTTAGAATCATAACATAAAGCCCAACCTAAATGGGCCGTCTTCTCACTCCATACCTGCTCTCGCCTTCACCGTCGATGGTCTAAACTCTGCAAGACCAAGAAAGACAAACGCTGGAAAAGAAACAGAGAAAAGAGAGATAGAGAGGGGAGTTAGGGCTCAAAGCTCCGCCGCAGGTAATTCCTAAACGCCGTCTTCATTTGCCACATCTTCGATTGCTTTGTCTTTTATTTCTTCAATAAATTATTATCACAGCTCGTAAAAATCCATTCATGCTAGGGTTCTTGAGTATCCGAATCTTACATTTAATCTCTGGGTTTTTTTTGAAGGGGTTTTATCGAGCATTGCAACTATTCGCTTATAGAGAGCAGACTGAGGTGATCGAATAAGTATCATAATGGTATTGCTCTTTTATCCTTTACAAGAACTGCTAGAAATTAGTGCTTTTAGGCAATTTTTTGTGTTTTCCTCTAAGTTTCTTGGAATAGACAAACAAACAAAGAAACCCAGTAAAATCCTATATGGTTCTTGGCATAGACAAACAAACAAACAATCTTATCTCTACTTGGAAGTAAAGAGGCTTTCGTGTAATAGACAATGAGAATAAATGCTTAAGCTTTGTATATGAATGATGTATGGTTTAGACGTTTAGTATTGTGCTGTTCATGAGCTGTAAGTTGGGATTAGAAACATAAATATAAGAAGAGTTTGTGAAAGGGATCAATTGAATGTGTTGTCGTGGCCTTACATGAAGTCTTGTTGTTTGGTGATGCATTTTAGTCAGGCAGAAAAGAAACGGTTTTAGACTTGGCCAAGTTCGTTGACAAGGGTGTGCAAGTTAAGCTCACTGGTGGAAGACAAGGTCAGAGCTATTGTTTTCTTTTCTTTTTCTAAGTTTTCTTCTCTTAAGAAGAGGCCTAAGATATACTAGGATTTGTGATGGTATGATAACACTAGAGATATAAAGATGAGTTTGAAAGAGAAAGCATACGAGGGAATCATGTGAGATGCATATGTGTGTAAGCACTAGGATTATGTTTTTTTTAATGTTATCCCACTCTATGTCACAGTATATAGTGAACTTTTCTTCTGACTAGTTTCTTTTTTTCCTTCTTTCAATCACAGTTGTAGGAACACTAAAAGGCTATGACCAATTGCTGAACCTTGTCTTGGATGAAGCCATTGAATATCTTAGAGGTAACAGCCGTTTTGGCTAGAATGGGCGATGGGGATCTGTTAATAATGATCATTTGCATGCCTTTTTAATCATTTCAACCATTCTTAGTTCTTCTTCCCAACACTTGTGTAGTATCGACTTCATTCCGGATTTTCGTTCTATAAAATCTGGGTATTTTCTATCAGATATAGTTTTTGATGACCTTAATTGAAATACTTTTACATTGCCAACTTTGAAATGCCTTTCGAGAAAATTGAGGCTGTGCTCACTTTGTTAGAAAAATTCTCAAATGTATTCCACTGTTCATTCAATATTGGAAAAGGAAAAAGAATGAAAAGAACAGTTTTCGGCATCCTTCACAAAATTAAGGTACAAGTGTGAAAAGTTCTTTCAAATGGAAACAAAAAATCAATGTACAACAGGCTCTAAACTTTATGGTCATCCTCACCATAATGTTACTCAAATAGGTATTTGCCTTCTAAGAAGAAATGTTATGTGGGAATTGTATCCTCAGAAGGGGAAAACCTATTTGGTATCCCCAGTAGACATACTGTGTTTGGTATCCGCAGCAGATATCCGGCTCAAAACTTTCTAAATAAACTGAATTGGAATGGCAATTTTTTCTCCTCATTTACTCCGTGCTTTTGCGAAGTTGAATATTTGTAATATGTAAAGTACTTTACAATAATCGTCTAACTAGACATTGACATTTGAGTACTTGACAAAATCCATTTAACTACTTAAAAACAACTTTGTGGTGCAGATTCCGACGATCCTCTGAAGACAACAGACCAGACACGGCGTCTTGGATTGATTGTATGCCGTGCTTTCTCTCTCCCTCACTCTTTATTTATTCTAAGATTCTATCACTTTCCATTAATACCCATGGATACACACGTTATATTATATATAGTTATATATGCGTGTGTGTATTAATACCCATTAATACACACACACACACACACATATTTGTAATTTGTGTTCTTGTATGGCAAAGGTTTGTAGGGGGACCGCAGTCATGCTTGTGGCACCAACAGATGGCACAGATGAGATTGCCAATCCTTTTCTCCAGCCAGATGGTCCATAGCTCTGTGATCCATCAATGTTATTTCTGTTGGCCTCTTGTAAAACAGTTTATGCTTTCTGCTTCTCTCACTGTCCCTGAGGATTTAATTCAAGGACAGAAGGGGCTTTGTCATGGGACAAACTTCTTACTCCAATATATACATGTTCAGCACTGATCTGGTGGCACTCTTGTAGCATTGCAGTGCTTGTTTTCATCTAAGTCATCATTCATTCTGTTTAGAGGTATTTATTATTTCTGTTGTCTCATTTGAGGTTTTCATGATTCATAGTCTCTTGTTTTGGTTGAGTATTGTGATTGTGACTGTAGTTAAATACTATCTCCCTTTTATATTAACGGTCCATTATAATGACTTTCTTGATACGTTAGAAAATGAGTGAATGTAGATATATTTTGCATCTACATTCATTCTTATTTGGTTATGAGTAAAGTCTTAAATGATCTTACTATAGACCCTTAATATGGAATCAAGGGAATATATTGTAACCATGTTTAAGAAAAGAGAATTTATTTAAATAGTACTAAAACATAGTGATTTTTTCAATGTAGTATTATATGTTTTTGTTTCCTAATGTAGTA